TCCCTTCTTCAAAACCCTACAGTGAAAAAGATAATTCTCAACTTAAAATCCCTCCTCGAAATCCTCAAAGGCCCAGAGGACATCATCACTCATTACAGCAGGAATAAAATTAGTTGAAATCCTCAACTACTGGCTCCCCCTCCCAAAATCTTAAACCCTATCCTCGTGGAACGCGCGAGGCGGCATAAACCAGAAAAAACCATCCTCACCCAATTCCTTAAAGAGAAATCCATCGGGATACTATTCTTACAAGAGACGTGGATGACACTCGACAGATCCTTTTCCATTCCTAACTACACCACAAGCCCCGACCGAACCTCATTCGTTGGAGGCGGTACGACAATCCTCATCCGACGATCCATCCCACACACCCCTTACCAATTCCCTCCAACATCCGTCCTAAAATGCACTGCAGTCGCTATTGGCTCCTCCACATCTCAAATACTTCTGATATCATGTTATAAAGCCCCCCACACACCGATCCCCGACTCCGACCAAGACACCCTTAAAAACCTTTCCTACCCCTTCCTTATCGCTGCCGACCTCAACAGAAAATCGACCGCATGGGGCTTGATGACTAGTAACGGAACCGGATTACGACTGTTCTCCTATAAAACATTCCCATACAAGCTCCCTCCCATAACCATTGGAAATGACCCATTCCCTGGACACCACAAATATCTTGCCTTGGCATAACCTTCTCCCGCAGACCTTCCTTTATATCTCATCCTCACCAATCCCCACATACCCACCAAGAGAAAAATTCAAACTTACAACTCCGTCTCATCCTGCCCTACATGTCCGTCCCATCCTAACATATGCCCAGCCCACTTGGTTCGCTACATCCCACACCAATTACACCAAACTAACCCGCGTGGAAAACCACAACATCCGCCTCATCTTCCGCCCACCCATGCACACCATTTACAACTCCTTACGGCAAGAAAACAAAATACCCCACAACCTCACACATCTCCACAACAGCCCAAATAAAAAAATACACCAACAATCCTGTATCCGAAACCTAACCCTTCCTCGCCACAACATCCTCAGAACCCACCCTGACACTCCCGGAAAAAGCACCCTTTGAACATCCTCCAACTTCTCCCTCCTATCACCTAAGCCAGAGGACAAAAAACTAACGACAAATTAAACCGACAACGAATTGATAGAATGACTGACGCACGGTACATGTCAACAAAACACCGCAGCCTCCTTTGACTAAATCTTTGCCCATCTCTTCCCTCCCACCCTATCCCTTCCTATCCAGGCCCTGCCCCTTCCCTCCCCCGTCATCCACAACCTAAATAAAACAACCCTTCTCTCCATAGAAAAATTACCCTTCAGCAAACAAACCAACCTCCCGATCCCCGTCCCGTACGGGGGAGAGGAATCAAAGAAAAAAAACAACAACTAAACAACCCACTAGAAGTCCACTGTTCGAAGAGACCCCGCAAGGGGTCAGGCGAACACGATTTGTACTCCAAATTAGACGTTGCACGACTGAGAAAAACGCGAAATGGGAGATTTTCCATCGTGAAGACAGGTTTTCGCGCGCCATGTAAAAACCGCAGAATATTTCAATAGCTAGAAACAGTAGTTATTTCTAATTTTTAGAAATGAAACATACCATAAACCGCGATCAAAATTTCTTTAAGTAAAGAAGTAATTTGTGAGCTCTAAGTTAAATTTATTACTTTCCTTCAATCTTTCCTTTATAATGGCAATAGCTTCCAAACACCTCTCAACTTATGTTCACGAACGGCAATAAATTCGGAGTGGAACCCTTTGTCGCCAAACTACACATTAAATACTCATATTTTCAAAAAACATTCCACATGACTATTCGAAGACCTGATTTTGATGAAACATTTCATTAAGAAAAAGTATATCTACACAGAGGGTGTCTTCACAATTGCAGAGCATAAATGAAACCTGGGCTAGGTGCCAGATGTGAAAATTTGCATTTTGTGCGTGGTACGTGTCAAACGCAATGCGGTGTAAAACGGGGTACCTGAAATTCTCATTCGTAGGTGTTCAAATTGTCGCGACTAGACTGCGCATCAATCAAGTCTCGCGAGCTTTTGAAAGTTTTTCTTAATTATCTCGAAATTCCATTTGTGGCAATTAAAACGGTTTTCACTTCACTCTGTACTTTTAATAAGTTGCAGATTTTTTCTTCAAAAAAATCAGGCATTTTAACAAGAGCGCTACATTTTCTTAAACGTCATTTACGCTATATAAGGTTCCAAGTTTAAAAAAAAAAAAAAAAACATTTCTCGTTTATATAAAATGGTTCAAAGAAAATAAAAATTGCTTATAATTAAGACAAAATTACCAAAAAAATAGTTTTTGAAAAACTGAACATGATACTTTTTAGATTTTTTCATTAATACATTTCATTAAGACAAACTTTTTTAAAAGATTTTCATAATTGTCGTTGTAGGAAGACCCGAACAAATTTTGAATTTTATCTATTTTCTAAAAATCAGTATTTTCAACCAATATAAATCTTGCGCTCTTTTCTTGAACGTCCTTCAGGCTGAATAACAAATTTTAATAAAAAACGATGGAGCCGTTTTTTGAGAAAAAAATAAATAAAAAAAATAAAAATTGCCTACATTTCATGCGAAGTTATTCAAAATTTCGAAAAATTTTACATGTTATTTCCAAATCATTCTTAAAGAAACAGATTTCATTAAGGAAAAAAAACCCTATATTTAATATTTAATTTGTAGGAATACGCAGAAAAAAATTATTTGTAATTTTTGAAAAATCTGAGTTTTTAACGAAAATGGAGACTTGCATTATTCTCTAAAAAAGTTCTTCACAATATCCATCAACGAAATTTAATAAAAAACGATGGAGTCTATTTGTATTCTGAAAATTTTTTAAATGGCCAAGAGGCTTAATATGAAGTACCCCCCAGTATTAAAATAGCAGTTTCAAAATTAAAGGGGGCGACCTCAATCAGATCGATTGCAGAATATCAATTTTAGAAAAAAATCGGCTGAATGGTTTAATCGCTAGCGCATTTCACGGACAGATGTCTTGGCGTCTATCGATTTTTTGGTATCAAGGACCCACGGAACATGGAATCTGGCTACATGACATGTTAAAAGGTTTTTTTATTTTAAATTTAGCAACTGGATTTCTCCAATTTTTTGTTACCAGTGTCCTATAATAAAAGGTTTTCCGACGAAACTTCGCAGTTTTTGTGTCCAGCATTACATAACTTCCTCTCTATTGCGAAAGCAGTAACGGCAAAGAAAAAGTAAGGGGAGAATTAATGCCAATACTGTGGAAAGTCTGTAGTAGTCAAATCGCAGTAGGACTGGTGAAGAAGCAGAATACCCGACCAAACTTTTTCCCTAGGATTGGTAAATGTATTAGGAATTAATTGAATGGATTAGGAAGAGAAAAGAAAACTGTTTCAATGTAATTTTCCATTTCAAATGAACAATTCTGTGCTCCATTGAAAATGGACGATTGACTGATATTCAGAAAACAAAACTTTTAGGTTTCTCATTCTCTTAAATTAATTGAACACAAATTTAAGTTAATTATGGTACACCTTCAGAATTCTTTCAAATTCAGTATGCCTTCATACAGCTCATTGTGAATGGTTCATGAATATTCATTCCTGCCTGAAATATGGCATAATATAATTCTGGATAAATACATCTTGTAGCTCCCAAGACTTTTAAAAAACAAAAAGAATTGTATAAATTAGAAAAACCCAATCAAGGGACTTATAAAATTCTCTTTATTAATCTAGGTATTTTACCATTATCTTGTCTCTTGATTTATCAGTGGTTTTTGTCCCAATGACTCACTCAAGGGTAGGAATATATTTTCAGCAAATTCTGCTGTCTGTAACTATAACACTTGAGGTAGTAACAATGTTATTCAGGTGACTGTCAATAGCTCACTACAAAAACGTCACTTTGTTTTTTACAACATGAGTTTTAATGTCATGAAACGATTAAAATTGATGCACAATTTAAATTCCCAGAAATAATTTTCTGCTGCATAACAGCTTCTGTACAGAGACTATACTGAGCATCAAAAAGGAACTAATGTTAATTTTAACAAAGATATTAATGTATTATTTAGCATTTGTACATTCTAAACAACCTATAAAAGCATTGTACCTCAGCTTCTGGGTCAATGACCCACATCTCTATCAGGTTTCCCTTGATCCTTTCAGCAAATGGTGAGATGGCCCCTGCTTTGCTTCAGGATAATAAAGTGTAACTTCACTTTCTGCACAAATTTCTTGAACTCTCTTTTTGCTAGGCATGACAAGAGTGGGGTTAGTTATTTGTCAGAAATATATTCAAATCAAATTTAAAGATTGTTTACCCAAGAAGTTTATTACATAGGGTACCGTTATCAAATATTAAAACACTACTTTCTACCCTTATTACAACAGATTGTCTGAGGCAAAAATCTCCATCTTCAATTTATTTATTTTTTTACATTGCAATTTTTTAAAAATCAGGTATTTTAAATCCAAGGGCCATTTTCATATTCCAAAATATCCTACAGAGAACCATTCTAAGAACTGTCCCATCTATTTGTCTTATCAAGAGGAATCAAATGAGCAATTGATCACCACTGTAGGTGCTATCACACAAAACATGTTTCAGAAGCTTAAAAAACTTAAAAATATATTTTTAGAGAAATTTCTTAGAATCTTCTGAATGGATCTGCAAGAAGAAATAATCTATAAGCCTTCACGAGAGCAAGACTGATCAAAAGACATCTCATTTGTTCCAATTCGTGAATTGGAAAGGGTCTAACCATGAGTGACAGATTGACAGGTTACTCAATTACTACATAAGGATTTCAGGTTTTATATTTTAAGATTGGTCACCAGAGCTCAGTTTCATATTAAACAATGTTGAACCTTCTTGGGAAGGAAAGTAGAAGGAAGAAATAACTGAAGAGGGACTGAAATGGAACTTAGTTTTTTGAATAAAAATGAAAAAGCAACATAACGAGAATTCAGAAACATTTTTATTAAAACTGAGATTAACGAATTACAAATTGATTTAAGAACATCCTTTCAAAACTTATTTATTGTGAAACAACAAAGTAATAGGGCAATGGTCACTGCCAAGTACCTGATTACGAATGACACTATCACAGACTTGATCGATTATTCTTCGAGATACAATAAAATAGTCCAACCGCCAACCAATGTTACGAGAACGAGCTGCTTTCATATAAGTCCAAAACGTATATGCACCAGACTCATCAGGATAAAAGTGACGAAATGTATCAATAAAACCTTGAGCAAGAAATTTAGTCATTCCGGCTCTCTCTTCTTTCGTAAAACCAGCATTCTTTGTATTTGATTTAGGATTAGCTATGTCAATTTCTTGATGCGAGACATTCATATCACCACAAATTATTACTGGTTTCAGAGCATCCAAATCATTCACGTATTTTAGAAAGGCATCATTCCATGACAAACGTTTCGGTAAAGTCACAAGGCCTTTTCCAGAGTTTGGAACATCTGTAATTATAAAAGCAAAACTGTAACATCATTCAAACTTTCCCTATTTTATCTGTTCTTTTCACCATTGGAGAAGAAAAAAAAAAAAAGGAAAAAGAAAAGAAAAAGCATTTATCAGTAAAGAAACTGTTTTGAAGATAAACAGTTCAGAACATTCATTTTACAGAAAATTGACGAGAACATTTTTTTAAACTGATAACTCTAAAGACTTACAAGGATGGTTGGTCATCCCATTATGCTAGAATTTTTTACCACACACAACGTTATAAGGGAAGAATTTTTAACAGAAATTCAGACATTTAATTTTCATTCAAGGTAAGCGAGGGGTTGATATTCTGTTTATCTTATTTAGTGGCAAAGAAAAAGTAATAAATTGTTAATTATTACTAGAAAACCTAATTCAAAAGAATATAGGATTACAAGAAAGTAGGTAATCCCTCTGAATTGCTGCCTACATCCCTTCAGAAAATTAGCACAAATATTATTCACGTGAAATGTATTACATTTAATGCATCACATTAACAGCATTAATTCAGATTATTATTTTTTTTATAAGCACAGGCCTACATGGAGGTCATGATAATTCTGCACCCCCCACCCCAGACTCTAGTACACACAAACAAGCAAACATTCTTAACCACTACATGCTGGAGTTTTCTATAGGTTCTAGTCGTGTTTTTCTATTTTAAAGGAGTGAAGATTATTAGTACTTGGGTGATGAAATACCTGAGAAATGGCAGCACATACAGCAGCCAATGAAACTACATACGGCACAATACTATTTGTCTGAAGTCACAATATTCAAAGAACCTTATGAAAGTAGAGGTAAGGTGAGCGATATTTTGTTGTATGTTAGTAATACTAATTAAAATGCAAAATGATTAAATTATTGGAATGTTATATCCCTCCCTCTCCCTTTTTTCCCCTTCACTTTTACATGCTATAAGCAGTTTGATTTCCATTCTGTAAACATTTTTAAATTGTAAATTTCTTTTCCCTAACAGAATTATCATATTTCCCAGGAGACTTATTTTGTTCTTATTCAAAGCATGTTATTTCACATTCTGAATTCACTTTCGAATTTCTCATGATTTTTGTTTCCAGCTTCACAATTCCCATGAAACACTTCATTTCCTGTGTCTTACCAACAGTTGTGATAATTAGCACACTAAATATCCTAAGAAACAATTTATTTTTGACACTAAGATAACATTCTTCTCTTTCTTGTATATCATACATTATTTCTCTCTCTTTACTACACTAATTTTCAAACCAAAAATTGTTATTTATCTTTAATACCTAAAAATTCTCATTCAATATAAATCTCTTTTATATGTTCTCTCACCAGTTGAAATGAACTTATTATTTAAAAGTTATATAGTAGTACATGTAAATAAAACAAACATTTATTTGAAGACAATAAATAAAATAAATCATTGTGGTCTGATACAAATAAATAAATCTAGCAAACTAGTTGCAGAAAACAGTATAATAACAGTATAATATTGCAACAGATTAAAACAACAGCATCAGAAGCAAGAAACAATCACAATAAGAGCACAGAACAGTATGCAACACAGACCCGCATACATTATGCATAACCCAAGAAGTAAATGGCGCTCCTAGTAAATTTGAGTTGCTATGCACGGTTATATGTTTTTCCCTTAACAAGTATCGAAAACTCTGCAGTGCCATCAGAATTTGAAGTTCTAATTGGTTATCGAAACCCCCTCTCCCTTGTCAGCTGCTAGCTGTTGAGTAGACAGAAATATTATTCGGACAATACTAACCAGGAGACCTTGTAGAACCATAAATGAAAGCAGAGAATTTGATTGACTTACAATAACAGTGTTTCAAGAAAAGATTTAACAAATATGGTAACTTTATGTACATTTGCATCTTTTCTTGTCTAAAACAAATTATTTATTATATTTATATAACAGCACATCTTCACCTAAAACAATCTACTGCCACAATCATTAAATTTCTTATTTAATCAATCAAAAAAGATTCCAGTGTAATAGTAAATGGGAATATTTTTAGAGGGGGCCTGGTTCAGATTAAAATTTGAATATCAACATGAAGCCTCATTCAAACACACGAGTACAAAATACTAAGGAGAATTCAAACTGAGGGGTATAAAACGTTAAGTTTTGAAAAGTTACGTCATCTTTCCTTTATGATGAAAGGAGTCTTCCCACTAACAAAAAACAGCAAATTTTGATATCACAGTAACAGATTCAACAGTGAAACTAACTGTTCTCAACATGGAAAACAATGTTATATTAACAAAACACATCCCACAATTTGGAATATGAAATATAATTACTATAATTTCAAATGCAAAACCCTTGCTTCAGATTCCAATTTTCTCAGCTATTTTTTGAGGTAAATAAATCTCTTTTAGCAAACAAGAATCTCTACAGGATAAAATTGGTAGACTGTCTTTACTAATCACCTGGATGTATGAAACAGGTATCAAAACAACTCTTGCTTTATACCAACTAGTAATCGTAAATTTTTAATTAAAATCGCGATAATTAGTAAAATATTACTGTATAACAGTAATGAAATGGTACTTTCTCCCAAATCAGTGTTAGAAGAAAATGTATGGGCAAAGGACAAAAGAACACTGAGAAATTAAATCCTTCTGCCCTTGAAGCAAATCTTATTTTCAGGGGAAGCACACACACACATTAAAGAGATGAAAAATAATGCAATTAATTTTTTATCTTCTAACAATTTCTTCAATAACTTCCACCACTCTTGTAGCCAATAATTCAATAAATCTTAGAGTAAAAAATTGCTTGATTTTGTTTTATTGTTGGCGAATTACCTGATGAATACATTGAGTTATTATATTTCCAAAATTAAATAAAAAATTATTCATGATAAAAATATATTGTAGTTCCTAGTATCTACACAGAAATTAAAGATATTTTCCATACTCACATGTTGTGACAAGATAAAATTTCTCATATTCGGCAGTAATTAATCTGCCTTCAGTGTCATGCTCTTTGACATCCATACCGTATTTGACATTAAGAGGTTCCTGTTTAGAAAAAAGTGCCACACCCGAATATCCGTCCTTTTCCGCTGAACTCCAGTAGGCATGGTATCCTTCAAATTTAGCTTCAGGTGGTATCTTCTCCTCTGGACACTTTGTTTCTTGTAAACATAATATGTCAGGATTTTCTAATTCAAGGAATTTTGCCCCATCCTTCTTAAGCCATGCTCTCAATCCATCAACATTCCATGACGAAATCTTCAAATTCCACTTTTCCCCACTGGCAGTTGTTTTGTCACTGCTGAAAACTACTTTAGAATAATCGGTAGAAGTTTTGTTCAACATTTCACTCTTATCTTTAGTTTTCTTTACTTCCGGTTGATCCTCCTCCTTTACAGTATCTGGTTCTGCATTTCTTTTATTCACCTTTCCTTTCCCCGTGGCGGCCTTACTACTCACAGCGAACGTTTCATTTAAAGAAACCTCTTTCGACGTTTTACTTATAACAAATGTTTTTCGGGGCAATTTCTGCGATGTGTCGGGCTCATCGGAATTTTCCTGAGAACCTTCTTTGCTAGTTCCGGGTATCTCTTTCAACGGTTTGTTTCTCTTCCCTCGGATTTTTCCTTTTTTTCCGTCCTTGACAATCTTCTTGTCCAAATCCTCACCCTTTTTATCTGTTGAAGAAACTTCATAATACGCAACTGGTTTTCGGACTCTTAAAGACCTCCCTTCTGAGACATCACCATTTGTTGCTACTGGGTCTTGATCTGCATTGTCAACTTCCTTAGATGGAGCACTTTCCTTAATTTTACGAAGTGGCATCGCAAGATGAAAAACTTGAAATTAGTTCGCTTATCTTCAATAGCTAACACTACGGGATTTATTACCAGCACAGTATTCACGCTGATATTCCAATCACTGCCACCACTTGGCCGCAAGCTTCTGCCGAACTGAAACCCTGTCGTTCCCGCGCTTTGACAACACTACCAACCAACCAACCAACCAACCAACAACCGACCGTCAGACCAACCCTGACTGAAAAGTGGCGAACTGTGGGAACCCAGGGTGACACAGTAGTAAACTGTCAAAAGTGAATAGGTTTCATAGCTTTGTCTTTAATTGCTCTTTCTCACTATTTCTGAAAATATCATTACATTTTTAGTTGAAAACACTTCCCAAGTTACATTTTATTGCTTTAATATCATACTAATTAATGCACATTAAGAAAAATAAATTACATTAATCTTGACATCGTCTACAAAGTTGGTACACAGTACCTTTGGGCTACAGTATCTTTGGAGCAGTATTGAAACAATAGAGCAAAAATATATCTTCTCTGTGACAGAAACGCACTAGCGATTCAGAAAAAATTTGTTCCTTAGTTTTATTAATTTCGTTAGTTTAGTTTAATCGATTCGTTTGTAGCAGGAGAAATTCATCTCTCATTTCTCCATATGTGCAAGATAAATAGAAATTAAAGTAGGTCAGAAGTAAACGTTCAACACTATTTTTTATCATGCCCATTTTTAAGTTTTCTTTGATCAAGCATTGAAATGTTTACATCAATAATTATTCTTGGGATTTTATTTTTTTGCGCGTGAGGGCCTTTTTCATGGAATGTCACGTCTTTCTCGGTCATTCCGCTAGATGTTGCATGATCGCGAACATATCAAGCACTGCTTCCGGTCATGGGGAATCTAATATAAAATTCAAGTATTCATAAGTTCTTCAAATACCTTGATCACATGAAGTCGCTGCGTGAATTTTGCAAATGTACTTTCCGGCCTAAGATGTAGTATAATATTCTGGGGAAGCTCATCCTGCAATTCCCAAATCTTTAATTGCAAAAGAAAATTTTTCGAACAATGAACAAATACTATCCATGTGATCCCTTATCCTAGAATGAAGTTTTTCCAAAACTCACGCAAATGACATCTCTCACTCTTTTAATTTGGACGTGTCTGGCGATTTTTTATACATTATTGGTTTCGGTAGTGAAAGATTTTCCAATGACTACAAATGAAGTTCTTAGAAAGCTCCCAGACTTTTAGATTACAAAAAAAAAAAAAAAAAAAAAAAAAAAAAAAACACTAATAATAAACAAATCCCGCCCACGTGATTCATGTAAGCCTTTCTATTAATCTTGGTATGGTACCATTACCTTGTCTCTTCATAAAAGAATCAGTGGTTTATAAAAAATGACTTCTTTAAGGGCGGGAATATATTTCCAGCAAACACCGTTGTCTGTAACTACAACACTCGACGTAAAAATCATATTCATCAGGTGACAATATCAACAGCTCACTACAAAAAATTCACATACATGTACATTTATTTTACAACACCTTGCCAGATGGCATTAAACGATTCAATTAGATTCAAAAGTGTAAGTTCCAAGTAAAATTATTTCTGCTGCACAACTGTTTCTATACAATCAGAGACTATACCGAGCATCCAAAAAGAAAGTAGTATTAATTTTAACAATGACATTTCATGTATTACGTATTTATCATTTGGATTGTATAATTTTAAAGAACCTGTAACAAGTATTGTTCTTCAGCTTTTGGGTCAATGACCCCCATCTCGACCAGGTTTTCTTCCAGTTTCCCTGATCCTTGAGCAAATGCTGAGATGGATCCTTATTTTTCTTCTGAACATAAATGTAATTTCAAATTTTCTTCTCCCAGCTTCTCTAGCAGTTTTTAACTGTTTTTGATGCAATAAATAAATAAATATAAAATACAAAAGATTATTGTGAAAAAAGAGCTTTGAAATTCGATTTACACTAGAGCTTAATCGATATTCTTAAAAACAGTTGCAAATGTTTCAACGAAAATTATAATTGTTGCGCGCGATGTCCGCGGCAGAGCGCAGGAATATATTTTTTTATTTAACGCTAGTTAAACTCAACAAACTTTTGTCGCCAATTTTCATTTTTTTTATTATTAAATTTCGAACTGTTATACTACAAATGAGTGTTTTTCTTATGTTGCTGATCCATCACAACACTGAAATAGGCATCCAGAATTTTCGCGAAACTAGCTGGCACCCAAATAGATCAAAATACCTAAGAAAACATGCAGGATGGAACACAGTTACATTATAAATGTTAAGATTCAGCAACCCAGAACTAAGATAATAGTTATATATTTAATAGAGAGAAAGGTCAAAGAATGAAAGATGTATTGAAAGAGAATGTGCAAAGAATAAAAAATGTATTGAAAGAAGATTGGGACATCATTTTTGCTATGCAATAATATAACAAATTTTGTTAATAAGCGAGGGGTGTGGTTGTTAGAAGATAGGAAATGACTAGTAATAAATACGAATATACTGAAGAGAGTTTAAGTTAGAAGTAAGTACGAGAGTATTGTGTAGCAGTTAAGAAAGACAGATACTATGAATTTAGAATGAACCCAATTGGGATCCTAAGGGAAGACAAGTTGTAAATAAAATGAACACTGAAAAAGTTGGAGCCAAAACTTCATTGTGGTTTGATATTAATATAAACAAATATCAAATCAGTTCATATTATTGGTGTTATGAAGTATAAAAGTGCCTGCAAGATTGTTTAGAAAATACTGTAAATACATTTTATGGAATTAAGTGAAAAATTCAGGTATATTTCGAAGTGATAAATATTTTTTTAATTATATTTTGGTTACAGATACAAATTAAATTCAACACAGATACCAGCATTTTCACAGTTAAAGGAAATCTACATTTTAGTAAACATAACAAATGGAAATCATGATCACATGGAATGCATTTTAAATAATTCTAATACTATTTACTTCAACTCACTATCTACATATATACTACAATGAAAGTTTATGGTATCATTTCACTACCAAACTATAGTATTCGACAATAGATTCCAATAATGTTATAGCCACAGTCATCATTTTACTGAAAAATAAGGATTTAGAACACATGACGCATAGTATAATGAGCAAAAGTAGGATTATGAAATTACAGTGAATCAGTACTTGTGTCTCATTATACAAAAAATTCGCACAATGTCTTAAATGTGAAAAAGGGGGAACCTAAAAAAAAATATTTATATTTATATTTATATTTATAATTTATATTTATATTTATATATATATATATATTTATATTTATATATATATATATATATATATATATATATATATATATATATATATATATATATATATATATATATATATATATATATATATATACATCTATACATCCAAAAAGTCGATTGCTAATTCCATTGCTAGTGTTCCAACATTTTTGGGAAGTACTATAACTTCTTATAATGACAAATATAACAAGATTGTATCTGTACTTTACATCTTTTAAGTTAAAAAATGTTAACATCAAGAAATTTAATGCAAGGAAAATTTAGTTTTCATTTTAAGGTTCGAAATTTTAAACTTGGCTCACATGGCATGAACAATTTTGGGCTATTTGCTGTTCTTATTCATAATGCTGTAAGAGCTGGGAAACTCAGCCAATCTCTCAGAACATCATCACAAAGAATGAACAGGGGAAGATACTAAAAATCATTTAGAATATTCAACAGAAAAAAATTCTATTTTTCCCTAATTAAAATAAGACTTACTCAAAATTAAGAAAACACAAAAGATCAATAAGTTATTTGGTTCGATTGAAAATATTGCACACAAATTTTCTTAAATTAATACTAAAACTAAATAAATTTACAAAGGTATCAACCAAGTACATCATGGAACAAATTAAATGGAAATTTTTGACATACATTTCAGAAAAGCTGTAATTTAATGACTTATCTCAAAACCATCAGACTATATCATTAAAAAAATATTTTATGGAAAAGCAAAGTCTGAAAATTAATTTATAGTTTATTCCATCAAATTTTGAAAAATCTGAATACAGGACTCTGAGATGTTGCGAGTCAAGGAGACCTGTAATATAAAAAAGTATTTTCATTCCTACATCAACTAAATTTATCACACAATAATTCTTTCACTTCTGCATAGATTTGTGAGTAAATATGAATAGGTAGTCAATGAACATGTATTTCAAAGAAACTTACATTATTTTCCCATCAGCATTGAATTCATTTTTGAAACTAATGTAGATTGGAAGTGGAATTCATTTTACAACTCTCAGAGGTATGCAAGAAGTAGCCATGACATATTAGGTTCTGCTTGAGAAAACAAAAATATTTAATGAAGAAATGAATCAGTCAAATATTCTGAGCTTTACCAGCTAAATACACAGAAGTGTACACTAAAACACATTAAATCATGGAGCTATGTCAATTTATTTTATTTTTCTGAAAATAAACTATTAGCATGTTTCATTAATAAATGAAAACACACACTATTTCCAATAAAAGAGGTGGAAGAGGATGAGATTTGTGATATTATAGGCGAGCATTAGAATACACTTCGTAGTTGTCACTGTTAATAGATGATATGAAAGAAATGTATGAATAGGAATTATTCAGGAATGGCATGAAGAAAAGAGCATATATGAGCACTTACACTTACAGATTCAAGTGTTAAGCCATGCACCAAAATTTCCATTTAGGTCTATGTAACCTTCATGGTCAATAATGCCCAAATATTAAGAGTTTATATTCAGCACACTAAGTGATTTTGAACTTCAAAAGCATATGCATTATTATTTGCTAGAAAACCCTGATACTTACATGACTTTTGTTCAATATGTCAATAAAGTACTGAAATACTTCTGTTATCAACATTAAGTAAACCCTTCCCATATAAAATTAAAGTAATTATAATATGGAGATATTCAAAGAGATTTATTCAAACTATCTCTGAATTTTGATCTGTCAATTTATATGCATATAACTTTGAACAATACTATCTAAAACATCTCATGCATGAAATAAACTTTTTAACTATCATGCAAATCTCTGATTACTACCAGACAAATACTACCTTCAGAAGTCACTAGTTTTTGTTTATAGGGAAATCAATTAAAATGTAACTTATATAGTTAATGGAATAAATTTCCAAAATATATAAAAACATGTACTATCTTTACTAGTACTACCACTACTACTAGTAACACCAGTAAGTTAAACAATGGAGAAAAAACAAAACAACTGATAAAATATACTTGGTTTGTACTTTGAAAGTACGGCAAAATGAACACACTGCTTCTCACACCTGCGTAATCTGAAGTACAGTAGATAAATATATAGGTATATACTAGCTCCATGTCATTAATATCAGACAATCAGCAAGACAATCGGACGGACTAACTCTGTACAATACATAGCAGTAGCGCATTGATAATGAATCAAATTGTCACTTAAACACGAACCTCAATTTTTCATACAAAATCCTTTCAGACAAAACACAAACATTCCCTGCCCAGCAGAGAATACAGTGCAATTCATGTACACATTTACAATAAAAACAAGTCTTCCCTGGGCCTTAATATCCCATCAGAAAACAGGTCATACAAACACATAAATTATTAAAAATTATGTCACTTTTAACAATAAATTAGATAAATATTTCAAAATTAACTTTCTCTCTAAAGAAATTTAAAAAGTAAAGCGTATCCAATCCAATGCAACACAAGCTAATACATATTTCCATTCAAAGACAACTATCTCGTATTACTACAATTTGTCATTTTCAGACATCATCAAAAAGCCCACGAGGTGGTGGACCCACTCGTCCACGAGATGCGACAGGAGGGCCATAGCCATCTGGGCCTCCCTGGTATAGAAGTGCTGTGCTGGAGCTTCGATGGCCTCTGCTATGACCCAATTCTGGCTCCGCATAGCTTCCATCAGTAGATGCAGTCGTAGTAGAAGCTGTCCCAACATAGTAATCTACTGGTTCCACATCTCGCAGAAGAACTGCCCTTGCTGATTCTGCTGAGTCATCACGATGCAGGGGTCTCACTAATAAAAGCAAAATGAAAAGAAAACAAAAAACATTTCAGAATACGAAATAAAATGTTCACATTGCTAAACAAATAACAATGATTTGATGAATTTTTTATAAATTTTTAAGTAACACAACAATTTTGTGAATAAGAAAAAAGAATCTTACTTTTTCTCACCATATGCTTCAACATATGTAGTCTATTACACAACATTAGTCATACTGTCTCTACTTTTCAAAATTAACATACACCTACTATTTTCTTATAACATGAAAAATAAAATAATCTCAAAACTACAGTTTTGTTTTTACATAAAAACAGAAAAACGGTTACAAGCAATGTTGCAAGCAAATTGTCATTTTCCAGCAGCAGCAGAAAAATTTAAAGAAAACCAGATCTGCACAATTCTTTAAGACTAAATGCACCGAAAAATAACTTGTAGGAAAATTCAATAGATCGCAGCACTGTCATATTTTGCATATTTTGCTGTTTTCACAAAATACTTTTTTTATTCTAGCAATTTTCTTCAATTTTATGACTCATTTTCATGAAAAGGGGTATTAAAAAAATACTTATTTCAATGCGCATCATCATTATGTTTAAAATAATCATTCGGTAACAATTGCTGCAGTTTCAGGATTTGTGAATAATTCACTTTGGGCATGTGTATCTCATTGCAGTACTTCGTGTTACTGCAATGAAAACAAAGCGTTCAGTTCATGTGATTTTTATTTAATATAGAGTGCGAATAACGACTTATTTCTGATATAAAGCAATAGAGCAATTTATTAATTTACAAATTTTCAGTGCATATTTCTGCAGACAGAGTTTTTGAGAATAATTTTATTTTTAGCTTGTCCACTTCTTCGCGGCACCTTGCATTAGTGAAATTAACAAGGCGTTCAGTACAAGGGATTTTGTAGTAATAAGGATTGCGTATAACGATTTGTAACCAATATCAGGCAATAGCATATTTGAATATATTATAAATAAAGCAAAACTTTGTAGCAAATCTAAGCAGAATAAGATAAAAATGTTTGATGAGCCGATGTTTCGGAATCATTTCTTTTTTTGGTCCCCATATTGGATCAGACATGTTGTTTTGGGTAATTTTGATATCAGATACGAAATAAGCGACCTAGAAAACCACTAGGTAGAACTTAGTAATTGAATCCGATGCCATTTGACGTTTTTGCCATCTGCTCGCACCGTGCCTCGGTCAGACAGATGTTATGGTGTGAATCAAGTTTTCGGTAGCAAGGACCCACAAAACATGGATTCTGTCTACACATGTTTGAGGAAATTATTTGCTACATATTGCAACAAGCTTTATCCATTTTTTCCTTACTAGGGCCTGGCAATAAGTGGGCATTTTTGGTCGAAAATTCCCCGTTTCCAACGCACAATTACAATACTTCCTTTTCTTACGAAGTAAGGGCCAGTAAGTAGCAAATTGTTTGCCCTCGCTCTGCCCTTTTTTCGCTCTATTTCTCTTTTTACACGGAGTAATCTTTCCAGAGAACCGTAATTCACCACGTATTTTACCAACACTTTTGCATTTTTCATCTGCTGCAGAGCCTTTGTCGGAATTTTATCTGCTATTGTTTCAAAACCATTTCCACCTCTTCTTCTCCACCTTATGGAATTACTGCACGTATTAATTTTTTCCAAAACTCACACAAAAGAATTTCCTTTTCAATACTTCTGAGTGATTTTCTCTGCTAATGTTTCAAGCCTGACATTACCAGGAAATGCTTCACTCATTGTAATTAGTAAATACATTTCACTAACAAAACAAATGTAGCACACACTTCTTCAGAGGTGGCCAAATTATTAGACTAGAGTTATTCAATAATACAAAATGTATTTGCGACTATATTGACACACACTGTGAAGAGTGTTCTAATGTTTTATAAACATTTTGAAATTAACATACTTGGTCTGAGGTACATGGAAACTTAATTAAATTCTTTCAATTTTTAATGTTAATTTGCAAAACGCGAATGAGTTGTTTTTTATGATGATCTTTTCTTAAATTTCTTTTAACTATCGTACGAACAATTTTCGATGGTATTCATGTCAGGGCTATTTGCAGCCCATTGGAACCCATACTGATCAAGGTCTTGATGATATTTTCCAACTTTCTTTCCTCTTGTGATAGGGAGCATAGTATCTTTTTTTTCTTTTTTCGAACAACTCATTTATGTGAGGGAACCATTGGTTCATCAGGGCCTCTAAGTATTTAGTCGTACCTCATTGTACCATTAACTGTTTATACATTTCCAATAACATTAACAAACATTTCACTTCAAACAGTTATTTTTGTCAGGTTCTTCTCAAGATTCATTATCCATTCATAATCCATTAAGTTAGAGAACAAATATTTAGTCTAATAATTTGGCCACCTCTGTAGATCCTTGTTAGGGTTACGCTGATTTCACATCAAGGCAGAAGAGAATGATCATTTAGATTTGGCATAGAGAGTAAATAAATAAAGTTTGAAAGGGACCTAACTCGTACAGTGCACGACACCCTGAAAAGGAGTGCAGAGTTCGTTAGCAAATGAAAACTAGCACTGACTACGTGCATTAGTTTATAATACTGTGTCATAGCCCGCTAGCATGCCTAACTTAGGGATACTAACGGGCTATGGCTGGGTTAAGTAAAAACGAACAAAGATTAACCTCACACAATTTCTAGACATTTGTACAGAGTCTGCATCAAGTATAATGATTTTTTGAAAGGTTGAGCAGGCGTACACGTTTTCTTGGAACAAATTTCACATGAGATGGTCCAGGAATTGAAACCGGAGCTCCTTGGTGAAATGCAAGCGACTTCGCGGTGTCAAGTACACCAATGTTGAAACGAAGAATCATTCAAAGAAAGCAACATGTCATTAACCACAATTAGACATTTTCTCCGTGTACAGTAATACAGCAATATTTTACGCAGAAATTTTACGATTACAATATCAGGGAGCTTTTGCACGGCATACAGCAATCGACTGCAATATCAATCTTCTGCGCGATCACAGATGTAAAAACGTGATGTGAAATTCCAGCAACGCATGTACAGAAGATCGATAGTGCTGACGGTCGATTGCTGTAACGCTTCGCCGTGCAAAAACTCCCTTTGAAAATACTTTTCTGACATGTCTGATGAAAAGGCAAATTTTTTGAACAAATATAAATGTTAATAAAATATGTATTGATATTTTAAAATTATTTTCTTATTAGGAATGTTTTTGTATACTTTTTTTTCTTCATTTTATGAGCTATTAGCACTTCTAACAGGAAATCGTCTGCATTTCACGGGGAATTGAATTAGTATGGACAATTTTAACCATTTGAACCTGACAACACTTTTTAGGTGTAGAGAAAAGCAAACAATTGTTCATTGTTTGTTAATTGTCAAATATTGAAAATATCAGCCAAAAGAGCCCCACCCTGAAATATGTTGTTTGTTACTTGCCCAATAGTCCTACAAACGAAAGATGTAAATTTGTTGTTACCTCGTAGACACTTTCATTTTTGATACACTCATGATTTTACGACTCACTTTCAATGAAGAATATTAATTTAATTTAAATAATTTCTTTCATAATGTTCAATAATGTTCAAAACTTCTACTTCACATGTTTTAGTTATATGCATAAGAAATTAAAACGTTTATAAAACAATATCTTTTTGGTTAGATTCAGCAAAATGAAACTGTATTACAAATTATAAGGATCCTTAATCACCATGGATCAGTAGAGTCGCTAACCAAGATGTTGTCACAGGGTATTTTATGGAGCTGCGCTACAGTGTAAATAAATATTCAGCATTATAACTCTTAGTTTCAAAACTTATGATTATGAAAATGCAAATTTGTTTATGGTCACATACCAATTAATTGATCTCACTTGTAAATTAGATAATGCAATGCACAAATTGGGGTAACAAAAATTCATAATAGATGATAAGTGAAAGTTAAAAGTACTGAATTCATATTTCAGACTAACATTGTAATATAACTGTTAATGCATTGCAAAATTAACGAAATGGCAACTTATCAAAATATTTCTTCCCCTTCATAATCAGAATTATACATATAAATGCAAAATAGAAAAATAGAAAAGCAAGATCATTACATAACATGCCTCTATCTTCAGGTTTTTGCCGTGCAGTCCTATATCTTGAAGTTCCTCCAAATCTCTCCTGGAATTCCCTCCGTCGATTTAAGGAATCTTCAGCTCGTTGGCGCCTTCGTTTTTCTAATTAGAGAAAAGGGAATAAAAATTGAATACATTAATGTATTTAATGTAATATATCTGACAACAGAAATAAGGATGAAGTCAAAAATTCAATATTATATAAAGTAAATCTAAACAAATTTAACTTCTTGAGAGCTGTTACAACAATACTATTTCTGGTTACATCCAATATAGTCTTTAAACAATTCACTAATATAATAATGATTTCCAAATTTAGATACCCAAAAAAATTGTTGCCCCAAGAGAATTATGTACATGTGATAAAACATCTCTCATAACTCAACATAAATTATAATACTTTTCAAAACGTTTGAGCAGAATCTATCTGGAAAAAACGGCATCCATTCCATGATAAGCATTACAAAGATATAGAATGACTTGCATTGACATAGTTAGGGATACAGCGGGGGCAGTGCACCCTGGGTAACATTATTTTAGGGCCGACACCAATTAGAATGTTTTATAGATAACATTGAATTATTTATTTAAAAATTATACTTCAATTATTCATAATTACATAGTTTTTAAATATATTGTAAATAGTTGTCATGTGAAATGTGATGTAACACACATCAATATCGTAATGATCAAAGATCAATAATGAACACTCAATATTTGTGTGTCACAGTAGCTGGCAAGAATGGTGCATGAGCACACAATAGCTGCTGCCAAACTCAGCCGTGTCGAATGTGGGTAAGGATCTGGACCTATAGAAATGAGGTCACGAGTCATGCGAGAAGCAAGTTGGAGCAGTAGAAAACACGCAAATATTGCTCCCCAGGCAAGGAGGGTCCCTAAAAGAAAAAATAGTGGCGATGAAGACGTCGACTGGCAAGAGAGAACATGGGCTACTATCAAAATAACCAAAAAAGCACAAAGGAGCATTATAGACAAAGTATCATTGGAGAGAGATATAAACTCTTTAGAAGTAGTGACACACTTCTTGCTAAATGGGCAAATCACTGAAAAGCATAAAAACTCTCTCCTCCGACTGAGAGAGCTAGAGTTATAAATCCGTTAAGTAATCAACATGCGACTGTTTGAGAATGCAAAAGCTAACTCTGGGTCATAGTAATAGTAATTGGGTAGTAAATGGGTAGTAGTAATTTAAGAGATAGTAATAGGCCTGCTGGGGCAATCTCCCATTGTTTCATTCTTTGTAAATCTGTTTTTTTTAAATATGTATTTATCTTTTCTTGTAAGCTGGCAACTCCCGATGCTTCTCTTATATCCTAATTTCTGATATGGTCCATTAATGTGCAGCCCTTCATGTATCTCAGGAACAAGCATTTCTTCTGGGTTAATATTCCCGTTTTATCTAGAAGCCCTAAAAACACTTATAAATCCATTCACTCAAGAATCAGGATGCACACAAAAACAATACACTGCTTTACTTCCAACTTCATGCTACATCCTAATAGCATGTTTCACCATGCATGGCCAGGATCAGCCGAGTCTCTGAATGGAGTGCTGACCGAACTGCTTATTGCCGAGAGAAAGAATATGGTATGAAATTCACAGATAAGTCACTGAGAACAAAAGTGAGTTTTCAACTTGATGCAATAACATTGGATAATCCTTTGTCAACAACTTCTTGTTTCATATCTACTTTCCAGCTGCTTTTTACCGTTTCAGCTAAAATATTTGAATATTTTTTCTAATTATCAATTCTTTCCCAAAACTCTGCAAATACATAATTTTCAGAATTGTTTTTGTCATTGCCCAATCTATCGCTGACCAGACACCTCACCTCTGATCATTACATCAGTTTTCTTGCACAAATTAAAAGTTTCAAGTATTTTGTAAATGTATTCTTTTGATTCCAAACTGAACCTTATAATTTACGAATGGAGACAATTGTCTGCATATGTTTCTAACTTACCTCGCTTGATTAATTCACGGCCTTCTTCAACAAGATCTGCGGTGACTTCATCATCTCCGACAAATTGCTGAAAGCCTAAGGCTGAGAGAATGCGAGAACCAATACTAAAGTAGGTGGCCAAGCAGAAGGCCAGTACAGCCATTGGGAAGTACACATTGAAGCCATCTGAGATAATTGAAATTACATCCATATGACCCATTACCTGCATAAACCATAATTTTCATTTAGAATTCATGTGAAATAATGTTTCATATTTTATTTATTATTTAACTCAGAATTAGGAACATATTGGAAAATATAAGTACACTGCAAATACAATGAGAAGAGGAGAGAGAGAGAGAGACAGAGAAAGAGACAGAGAAAGAGACAGAGAAAGAGACAGAGAGAGAGAGACAGAGAAAGAGGGAGACAGAGACAGGGAGAGACAGGGAGAGACAGAGAGAGAGAGAGAGAGGGAGTGGAAAAGCTTGGATAGAACTTACACGGACGAACCAAAATAGAATGGTCATGTTCTCTGAAGAAAGAAAGATAAACAAAAAGATTGGTAAATTGGCAAACTGGAAAGATGAAAACAAGGACAACCCACGGTGATAATGAAAGACATATTGTATGTAGAGAGACAGAAAAGGGAATGATATATTTGAGATTGAGAACATACATAACATGGAGACCAGAATATAATAAATAGCCTGAAGCTGTTGTACACAAGTTGAAAAGTAAATTAATCTCACTTTGGAGCCTGTAAAATCAATAACAAGGACTGCAAAATTTCAGCAAAAACAAAGCATCCAAAGTGATTTTCCCATACTTTTCAATGATTTGAACGTTTACTTTTACATGGACATGCATATGTTAATTAAGTACCTGAGTGTAGTATGTTTCCATCGTTGACTGCTTTATGATGTGACTGTCCATATGAACAAGTCCCAAAAAATTGAGGCACATAGGCGGAGTAAGACGACACAACATCATACCAGAGAAAATTAAAGAATATTCATCAGTTTGATGATGAGGTGCCAAGTAATATAAATTCAGTACTCTGATTTTTAAGACCGTTGAGTAAGCACAATAACAGAGATATGCAATAATCATAGTGGAGAGAATCTACAAAGGAATACATTTATTATTATCATTATAAATTACTTGCAATTAACTAATTAATAAGTAAAACATCTTTCGAGGTGTCAATTTAATTGAAGTTTGTCTGAAAGTCTTAATTTTGTCATAAGAATAAATGCTAGAATTATCCCTGCAATTGGTAATATTTAAACTACATTTTGTTCTACTTTACGCAATAAACGCAAACATTAAGGATAATTAATTTAGATTCACACTTTGCCCTATTAAGTGCAAAGTTATTACCAAATAATTATAAAGAATGAATTTGTTTTAGATTTAACACAGTAGTTAATTATATAAAAGGTACGAATCAAAATAAGCTACAAAATAAGCTTTCAGTACAAATCTCCAGTGTTAAAAAAAATTTACTAAACCTGGTCATCAACATTCTTTTAGTTGGAATTAAAAAGAAAGATGTCAGAAATATTTCATTTAGTAATTTAATTTGTAATGGCTCCGATTTTAATATAGATCATTCCAGCCATAATGGGCCTAAATTTTCCCGATCTACTCAGAATTCGCAATTGATTTTTCCGGGGGCTTAAAATATACAGTGTGTAATGGGAAAATGTTTATTATGATGATTTTGCTTAAATTACAATAAAGTCTGTTTTCCACAGCTTACAGAACATCCGCGCCACAAATTAAAAAATTGTAAACATTTTTTAATTTGTAAAAAATTGTAAAAATTCTAACAATTTCTAAGCTGGTTTGTTAAACATTTTATAGAAATCTACCATCACAGACACTTAATTTCATAGTAAAAGTGACCTGCAAAGACCTAAAATAAATTGCAAAATACAGGGCAAAAAATTGTTTTTGCTTCAAAACATTATTTCTCAAATACTCCAACTTAGAATTTAATGAGATTTACGGAGTTTAAAGAAGAACTAAACAATGAGAATCTCCCCAATTTTCACAACTTTCAAAATTCCAGTACATTAAAGTTAAAATTTGGATTTTTATGTTGTGTGAATTCCTTCCTTATTCAACTTGAAAGCCAAAATATTAATTTGGTTTCTAAAACTTTATAATTACAGGTGTATAAGTCCAGTTCCAATTCTTCAATTTCCTTTTAAAAATTCTTTGAACTTTTGTTCTTTTAAACTTCAGCTCATTCTCATTCTTTTGGCAGGTGATCTGCAATAACATTTTCATTCATATTACTTTCTTCATAGATTGTAGTGTGCAAAAATTGTATATGTATCAACATTGATCATGTTTAAAGATTCACTGATTCAATCTTTTAATAAATCAGGTGATGTTCAATAACCTGCAGATTGTTGAGAATCATTCGATTTTGCAACAGAAAATACCAATGTTTCAAATGTTCATTGAATCTTTGACACTTTCGACCCTAAGAACATATCTGATATGTTATCTTCATTTTACATCATTGTCCTATTTACATATGTCATATGTTCTTCTACATGTCATTTTTGGCAGGCTATAAAAGTCTCTCGGACATTCCTAGGTACCTAGAATATACTTTTTAATATCATTGAAATGGTTGCAGAAACACCAATGTGTGCTTCTATTTTTTGCAAGTATTTGCAATTTTTTCCAGAAAGCGATTAGAGATATTCGAACTTGTGGGCACTATCAATTATGATCAGTATGTTTCGTTGGGAGTGGTGTTTGTGCTGTTAGCAATGAGTACAGATGTTTAGAAGATATATACAATTGTCAAATTCACAGCAAATCTCAACATTAGAAATTCAAGAGCTTTTTAATAATAGATCAGAACAGGATTCTCCTGATGAAAAGGACAATTTTATTCCTGGACTGTTGTCTAGTTTGAGCAATGAAAATAATTTCGAGGAGAGTAACAATTATGTGAATGATTCTATTGGCGATGTGTTTGTAGGCTTCCGTGGCCCGAGTCATTGGATACTTGTCTGTCCAGGGTGATCCGTGTCTCAGTTGATTTAGCTGAGGTTTAAACCATTGTGTTGTGGCCTTCTTCAAAGCTGTACTGCTGTAGCAGTATCCCATTCTATTGGCAAATCTTCTCAAACTCAAGTTCATTTTTTTCATTTTTCATGTCATTTAGAATGCTGTGAAATCGATAAGCAATATAAATTACCTGTGTTTGTGAAAACCAGTGAAATAAAATATCCTGTAAATGAAGACTCAACTGAGCTAGACTATTTCCCATCATTTTTTGATCAAAGTATATTTCAAAAAATAAAGAAAGAAAGAAATAGATATGCAAATATAACTATTTTTCAACTTTAACAAATATAATTATAGTGCACCAGTATTGTTGTCATATGAAGTTCACTGCGTTTCCCCCGTATTTTGCAATTACTATCAGCAAAAATATAAAATTGACAACATGTGTTTCTTTGAATTCCATTCTCACTACTATGTAATAATCAAATTATCATAAAATACATACAAAATTAAAGAGGAAAGACAATACTACAAGATGCTGTTAATTTCACACGAAAGTACAAAAGATTTTGTTTTACAATGTTTTGAATAATGCCTACGACACAGGAGTTTAACAGGGTGGCTCCCTCAGGACTCAATGTGTTAAGGCATGTCTGAGAGATGGATTAGTAACAGATTGAGTAGGAAGCTAAGAGTCACAAGCAGTAGTGACATTTAATTCACTCTCATTAGAAATATACTGACAGTAAAGATCTTTTAGACTTGTGGCACAAATTGTGTTTCTTCCAAAATCACGGGAAATTGTGTGTGATATACAATTTGAAATTGTTTTTGGGAACAAAAAGTTACAAACCAATGTTTCTTCTAATGTAGTTTGTTCTAATTCTATAGAAGTAGTAGTAGAAGATTATTTTTGATTCTACAGTAGTTTCACTTCTGCAAAAAATTAAAAAAAATCTCTACAATAAAATTTACTGACTTGATTAAAATTATCTTCAGCAGAAGATGTAATATTGTCACATCCTAGTGAACATATTCTCCTCGGTAATTCCACAGCAATAGCACCTCCAGTAAAAAGTACATTTGTGATATTTCACAATAAGCTTTAATTTCATAGCTCACATTATGTATTTTTCTAATGGTACCAAGACGTCACACATCAGCTAATGAGAGTACCAGAGATGTCTCGGGTGTGACTGTCAGTAATTAGGAATTCACAGATGTGTTATTTTCACGGAGAATGAAATGAAAGTTATTTTCTGTTTTACCAAAATAAAGAACTTTAAATACATCTACAGCATGATATATAACTTTCAAGTAATGATAATTTGGCAAGGAGTTCACACTCACACTGTAACTCTGAAAGTTGTAATTTTTCCAAGCAAAAAAACTCTTGTTCATTTGTTCTATTTGAAGCTCCCCAAATCTCAGTAAATTCTGATATGGAGAATTAGAGAAATTATTCTTGGGAGAAAAACGATATTTCGATGTTTTCATTGAAATTCTTAAGAATTTTTCAATTTAATGTGTCCATAGGCCATTTCTTTTATAAAATGAAGTGTCTATTATAAGTAGATTAAGTGGGTTCCAATTTCCAAACCAGTTTGAATGAAATTTGTATGATTCTTTAACTCGTAGCACAAGTGCTCTGTCACCTGAGAGAAAACCGAAGCAAAAACAGGATAATAAACACCTAATAAAAATTCTTTCTTCAATGTTTTAAGCCCTCAGAATAATTATTAGCAAAATTTTAATGGGTCATTTAAATTTTAATCCTGGTTTAAATGGTTGAAAAATTTGGATCAATTATCATCGGAATAACCCATATATAATTGATTAATTGAAAGTACAGCCAATTATGATCTGAAAAATGCCTAACGATTTCATATTTTTCATGATATAAAATTAATAATAACCTCAATTGTCTTGTAGTCATATCCTTCTCTAGCAAGGTTTATGAACTGTGCAAACAATGACAATACTGGCTTCTTGTTGAAAAACGTTACTTCAGACCAGACAACAGCAGCAGACAAAACACCAGCAGCAATTGCAGCTAATTTTAATATATAAGACTGCACTACACACCGCCAATACCATTCTGCAATAAAGAAAGAAAGTACTTTTGGCTTAGAAACAAAAGAGATTAATTTTTGAATGATTAGTATTAAAGAAAGTGAAGTCAATAAAGTGCATCATCTCCTGTATTTTCACAAGTAATTTATACCAGCACCTCCTTGAGGAAAGAGTATTCTTTTCAAAATGGAATGTTCTGTCCTGTTAAATGTAATATATTGAATATAGGGGAGTACTGTGAATCAAACCCTGCTTGACGCAAACCACATATTGTAAATGCATTAATAATAATAACAATAATAATAATAACAATAATAACAACAACAACAACAACAACAATAATAATAATAATAATAATAATAATAATAATAATAATAATAATAATAATAATAATAAAATTAAGAAGAGAGTAGAATGAAGCCAAGAATATAGAATGAGAACTCAAAAGAAAAAACTGGGAAAAGAAAGAAGAAGATGAGGAAGAAGAAAAAGAGTAGGAGGAGGAGGAGGAGGAAAAAGAAGAGGAAGAAGGAGTATTCACTTGATAAAACATGTATTTTGTATATCCTTATCTCTCTTATGAAGCCAAGTATAGTAGGGCTTTTAGAGTAAAGTGAACCGTTCTGAAGAGATCAGTACTAGGATGTATAAAAAACACTTACTTATACTTCATTTTTTTTTTTACAATTAGGACTATATTACAGAGCTTACCAAGTCCAGGAGTAATAAAAACTCGCAGCCAGCTCGCTCTATCAGGTTGAAAGGTGGGTTTATAATGTCGATCATGGCTAACTTGATTACGAACTACATCTTCTAATACCAGAATATCATCCACCAGTAAGCTCCACTGAGTCTCAGTTCGGTGAGCGGTTTGAAGAGCCTTGATTACCTAAAGCAAATACAATTCCTTCATATAAACTTCTTTCTATTCCTTCTATTCTGATAATGTACAATAACCATAGACATGGAAATTATACATATTAACCCTCCTCTGGTCACACCCTAATTTGTAACACCATCAGCTGCGCCATGTGCTCTCAACAATACTGGATTTCCAAAATTATTTTCACTACTGTAATTATTTGTTGCTATATGTTTAGGCATTTATGAATTTTCTCCTATTGAATGTTTAAAATTATTTTTGCATAAAACAAAATTTTATAACAAAGCAGAAAAGATATGTACAAATCCAAACGTCAGATTTTATTCGTACTTATATAGCATATTACATTACACAATAATATTTGAGTTACACTGCATTTAAAATTTTAGGGGTCATGATAATGAAACATTCTTGTTTGGATTTTAACTTTCATTTGCATGTAGACACAGTTTTTAGTGAATCACACTCAGCTGTCTCTATTATTGTGTTATTGCATACAATTTTCTTCATTGTATAATTCTCAGAAGTATAACTTTGACAACCATTGCAGATCATTGTTGTTTCTTATTTTATTTTCAACTACTTATATACCAAATCAGGACACTTCTTTCATGGTAAGTCAGATGTGAATGGAATAAGTTCTACGCTGAGAAAATGCGTACTGATATCTTGATGGCAGGAAATATTTAATATCAAGAAGCAGACTAGGAATTTTGCATCTGGCCAAAATGTGACCTTTTATTAAATCAAAGCCTAATGTTTTCAAATAAACTCAGTAAAATAAATGTAAAGCTGAATTTCACCAAAACTAAAATATAATAAGAACAGTCACGTGATGTATTCTATACCACAGATTCACCAAGTGTCAAATTGCGCACTCCTGGCAATAGGACTGCCTTTCAGAATTCAAAGAAATGATGAAGGAGATAGTGAAAAAATGTCAGGTCCTGAGGAAACACAATATCTTCGCAAAAACATGTCCAAATGAGAAATTCCATGTTTTACACAGGACAATGCTGCAACAGGAGGAAGGTTAATTATTAAGAAGGCAAAGACAGCTCTTTGCATCATACCTGTCTGTGAAGGCGAATAAGTGCTTTCTCTGATGGAGCGTCTGTTGGAGTATCATCAGGTAACTGACGACGGTTCATTCGCTCTCTGAGTTCAACAGGAACTTTCTGCAAAATAGTCTCAAGGTTCCGGTGTAGTGGATGACCTGGCCCTACAGCCATAGATGCAGCTTGTAGAGACTGAAGATGGAATAGAAACAAGATATCTTGTTTAATAATATGAATTAAATGAAGAATAATTAACTACACATTTAATTTCCTATAATACAAGAAAGTAACTTCAACTTTATTCTAAATTGATGTTATTAATTTTATGATGAAAATTTGCCCAACTCGCTAGGCAATATGATTAGCACTACAACCTTCAGACACTTTTCATTACGTTTACTCATACTTGATGGATTAGCATGTAAACAGTATCAATATAGAATGGATTTCTGACCAAAAAATCAGCAAATATTTGCATCCATTTGTCTGATAAACTAATGTATATTACGATAATAAAAGACAAAACTCCACACCTTATGAAAAGATGAGATAGCCAGAATTTAAATATAGATTAGAACAATTTAAGAAAACACTCCTGTGCTCTGTTTTCCTTACTTTGCAAAACTACAAACATTCACCAAGAGATGGTTCTACATTACTGCTTAAAACTCTTCATTCAATTAAAAATGATGTCTAAACAACTATTGAGGGAATTGGAGGTATTTTTATAGTATCCTAAAAATGAATTTAAAGCACGATGATTTAATAATAATATTTAAAAATATCCTGATATATTCTCCCTCAATGCAGCTCATTCAATAATTATAAAATGATATTTTAATGAGAAAATTGTGGCAAAATTTTGTGTTATTTTAGTACAATTTCTTAAAATAAACATGCCAATATGAAATTAAAATGCTATTATTTGAATTTATATTCACATTAAAATCCAATTTATTTTTATTAAAATCATTAACATTATCAGTGATCTACATCTCTATCGGGTTTTTTGTCCAGTTTCCCTGATCCACTGAGCAAATGCTGAGACGGCCTGTTTTGTTTCTGGACATAACTATGCTCACTACTTTCAATTTACTACTAGTTTCACTATGCTCACACAATTTGTTGAGCTTTCCTTTTGCTAGTTGTAGTAGGAGTAGAGCCAGCGATATGGGTTACAATTTTGTTAGCAATACTAGAAAACCAAATCTGTAGATCATTTACCATTGCAAATAACTTTTCAATAACTTGGAAGCGCAAAAGTCTAGTTTCCAAATGTTGCTTTGTGGGTACTTTTATTCATAATTCAACTATTTTTAGATAAAAGGTCAGGATGATATTCTGGAGCTCAAGAAACTGTATGCAAATGGTACTTCTCCCATATGTCACATAGTGTTTTGACTGTTCTTTGACAAAAGTAAATCAAAACAAGATAACTGTGAAATACTACCATTAAAAAGACACGAACAACAGTCTCCAATGACCCCAATATATTAATTATATTCAAATTGACAATTTTAGTTTTTTTTATTTGAATTTTTGATAATGAAAATATTTTGTAGTTCTCTTCTGTCTGAATTTAAAGAGTATGTTGAATTAATAATATATGTAAAATGTCTCATTCTCCAACAATGAACTACTACAGGATTTATAATGGTACACTCAACTACAAGAAATTGCCACTAATTGGGAGCAATGAGTACCCTTAATGCTTTCCACACATTATCTCACAATTAATAAAGATGTTCACAAGACGTTAATGAATAGCTCATGAATATGGTTGGTCTAAATTTCAGCTCCCTCATCATTAAAAAAATCACTTTAAAAATATCTTTTATAAATTGCTAAGTTTGAATCCACATTAAATAATAAGCAATAGCACTTGCCCCTAGGAATATATGCTAAAACTGTTAAATCATATGAACCATAATTGTTATCATGTACTGTTAGTATTACTATTATTATTTTATAAGTAATGTTTTCTATTATATTTATTATTATTATTATTATTATTATTATTATTATTGTTATTATTATTATAAGTAGTAGCAGTAAAATCATTATACCAAGAAAATGGTATTTTGAAAAATGAAACGGTACAAATCTTGAAATATTATAGTATATTAAATTAAATTGAAGTAAGTTAAGTGTTCAACTAAAAATAATTATCTACAATATACTATCTTAATATATCTTAAACAAGTATTGTAGTATAATCCCTAGGCAAATGACACCAGCTTGATCAGGTTTTTTGTCCAGTTTCCCTGGACCTTTGAGCAAATGCTGAGATGACCCCTTGCTTTGCTTCTGGACAATAAATATAAATGTAACTTTACTCGCTGCTCCCAAGAAGATGTATGCGATTGCACTCCCACTAAATATATCATATTTGACTCGACATACACTATTGTAATGGCATATGTGTATATTATTATTATTATTATTATTATTATAAGAGATAACATATAAACGATCCAAACATCTTTAAAAATATATGCACACACACACACACATATATATGCATACATAAAAGTGACTTATTGACATCACAATGGTACACAGATAGAATATTCTGCAATGTTTCAAGTAGTGAAATATTTTGTTCTTTTATTTTTAACTCCATCAATTTTAATTGCCTTTTTGTTACACTAATTAAAGCAAAATAAATACTAAAACATATGGACTCTGCAGGTTTGATAACAAAACCTCTCTGCTTGAAACCATGAGGACTAAAAGGAGATTCAACAAAGGTGGTGGAGGTATGAATGAAATATGTCAGCAAGTGAAAGAACACAATACCACACGGTAGAATAAGAAACCATTTTTAGCGAACATGAACCAAGCTTTTAATTTCAAACATATGAAAATGACAAGTATCAAGACTGTAATTGACAGTTCGTGTACACCAGTTCAACTTTATTATCCTTGTGTATATTATCACCTTCATAACCCTTGTGATAAATGCATTGATAACAATATTCCACACGTGTTTTATAAAGCATTATACCAGGGATTAATAAATAGGCATTAAAATAAAATTCTATTTTTTAATTAGGGTTGGTAACTTCCCCTCCTCTCCAAACAAAAACACATACACACACAGCGAAAATCTCAAATGAGAATTTGGAATGTGATTTCCCATTTGAATACCATGAATAAACATTAAATTTATTACAGAGGCAATGAATGTACTTCATGATATCAATAACACAAACATACACAATACACCAAAGGTAATTCATCATTCATCAACAATCATGGAAAGTTTGCTAGTTTCTTGTCTTTAACAAGACTTTAACATCCATCCTACACTCCAAGAGTCATTAGCTTTATTGAGGTGCTTGGTCAACATTAGCCACAAAACAAAATGATAAAGGTTTCTTAATCTACCATGTGCACTTTCAGTTGCTGACATTTGTCATATTTCTACACCATTTTAATTGAATGTCCTCACAATCTTCATGCTTAACTATTTGTGAATATTTCTCACTAGTATTTACACAATAATCCTAGCTAGCTCCTATTTGTGGTGTGAAGAATATTTACTTCTCATTTATTTTTCACAAAAATCTGTTTTATAAATACAGAGTACTAATTTATCAATCTGGGATGACGTAACATAACAGTACTAGAGTAATTCTGGCACAGCTACTTTGGGCACTGATAAACAACTCTAACTTCTCCTTACCTCCAAAACTTCATCCACATTTTCTTCGGCTTCACATTTATCAGAACTAAGCTTTGCTGCTTTAAAATAACTATAGTTTAATAAGTAAGCACGCTTGCTAGAATTCCACAATGACCTTGGCACCTCAACCAGGGCATATCCCAACAAAAGCACCAGCAGGAAGAGACCCCACGTATTACTAGCAGATGATGCAATGGCTTTCAATTTGGGTCTAAGAGAAAATTCATTTATTAAAAATGTAGCATAAAAGAGTTCACAAAACAATTTCAAATTAATTAATTCAATAAAGATAGATCTAAAACACACACAACATATTTATCAAATTTCATTTTGCACACAATAAAAATTTAACCTTTGTGCAAGCATATTCCTTGTTCAGTCTCTACAATTGCACACAAAAACAAACATCAAACCCTCAAAAACTGAACCAGTGGAATTAGTACGAAACAATTTTTATTTCAACAAAGATATGATATCTCTACACGCATAAGTAACACGATCACAAAATAAACAAAATCTTACTCATCAAGGTCAATTCCTGGCTTCACAGCAATGTATATAAGTAAGATTCCACAAATAAATAAGTATGATCCGTAATAAATGGCATTGTCAATAAGAGCTGATTTTAGTTTTCCTCGAATAGTAAAATCTCCTGCCTTGATATACGATTGCATTAATGGCAACACCAACCTGAAAATAAGCATTATATTTTCATTTCTTGTAATCAAGCAAATGAATTTAAACTAATACTAACTACACTCTCAACTACAATATCACATTCAGATCAAAATTCTTAATGATGTTTAATAGCACGTTTTCCTCAATAAGAGCATTACTCTTGAACCATATGGAAATGTAACACAATTAACAATTTTAATATCTTCTTTTACCAAGTGAGACACTGTGAAGTCCAGTATACAACACGCCACAAATGTAAATATACATCATCTTGTACATAACTCCATGGTTTCTGACAAATAGTTTCATCAGAAGCAGAATGACTGTTATTTGGAATTACTAGACTATGATTCGAGCTCGAATTTTCATTGCTGTTTCCAGGAGGAAGATCTTTTAAACAGGTACGATACACAGTCTGGAAAATAAATACATTACATTAAATAAATATATACATACATTCTGTTGAACAGGAAAATAAACACACATGAGATTTTGCACTTACAGATGATACATCCAGTGGCAAAACAAATATTATTAGGAATGAGAAATACCAAGCAACAAGAACTGCTATGGTTACTACAATGTGGTGTTTCATCCAATTCCCATATCTATACAAGACACTAGCTGCCACACAAAATGTCACTATGACATCTGTGAGTAAGGGACCAAACGACATATTCCCTTCAACTATCTGGTCCTCTTATTATAATCCAAAATAATTTTTAGGGTACATTATTTACATTTCCTTCATTAATCTGTTCCAGTCTCTGCTGTTTCAACTTGTCTTCTGCATCTTTTTGCATCTTTTCAAGTTTCTCCAAAGTCACAGACTTCAATGGCATTAGCTTTGGCTTACAAAGAATGTACTGTGGTAAATCCTCGTGATAAATCATTCCACTATTAGGAATGAAATCTTTCAAAACGGGAGTCTGATCTTTCGACATTGTCAGCTGTTATATCGCACATGTCACAGCACCTGGAAGGTTCAAATGTATTAGTAATTGACACTTTAACAAAGCAACTAATTAAAGAATAATTTCATCATTGCAACCTAACTAACATTCTGAGATAGCGGTGGTATGTGTAGCGAAAGCCTTGAGCACGTACTATAGGCGCTGCAGTGCTGTGGTTTTGCAAATGACAAGTCGACTAACCATCAAAAGGATGAGATTGGCCGCACCCAGCCCATTACAGAATTCTTGATTCTAGCATTCATACAGTACTAAAAAGTCCAAAATTGACACTCACTTCTGCAATTACTATTTTCCACTATCCTCCTAAATCACTACAAGCTCTATAAGTGTACGTATACATATAATACGCTTACTCTTGCGCAAATCCAATAGAACAAAAAAGCAGCAACTGAATAACGCCACCCGAAATTCTTAGGCGCAGAAGGAAGTCGTAACATTCATGGGGGAAATTCAAATGTGCGGCAGAAATAATAAATGTTCATTTTTGAACATTTGATTTAATGTTACAGAAAATACACATTTTCCGGTTATATGTTAGTACTGGAACCAGAAACTTCAATTTCCCTTCATTCCTTCGATATTGCTGCAGAATCTCCGGCTTCGGGGCCCCTTCTATCCCTTGATCTCTTTAAAAGTGCTGTACTTACCCGCATATTTTATTATGTCACGGTAAATCATAAAATTCCAATCTACCCAATTATACGCCAGGTGGTACGTGTTCTTGTGAGACAGGGAAGCAAAACGTTTTAACTATAATTGATAGAAATGTCTGGCTGGCATTGAGATGACGTGGGCAGGGCACACGCAAACAATTTAGTCATTTCCGTCAAAAAAGAATAACAAATTATGATGGGCGGATCCAGCAGACCTTTTTGAAGGGGGGCAACGTAGATTTTAGTTAAATAATGAACTTTTGTTATTACATTGTATATTATTTATTTATTGTAGATATGATACTATACAATAGTATTAGTTAAATAATTATTTAACCAATAATATTGTACATATTTCGACCATAAATTAATATTTAAATAAACTTTGCCAAGTAAAGGAAAGTAAATGATAACTCTAGCCTTTGGGGGTGCCATGGTCCCTATGATATATACATAATCATTTCAGTGATCCAGAATCCAAAAACAGCAGGCATACCCTTGTTTGATCACAATGAAATAAGGAAGTTGCATTGTCTATGATATCAGGGATTTCAAGGAATAATAGACTTATGATTCATAATTTAATTGTAACTGTGTCGCGTGGTAAAATGAAGAAACCATTATGCATTATTTAGCCTAATGTGACCACCGACCTCTATATTTCCATAAAGAACTATCAGAAGATACCATTTGTACTACCAGAAGGTACTACCTTCAAAGCTCAGAAGTAATAAGTAATGTTTTGCTTAGAGTTAAGTAAGATCCATATGTGCTGTTGATTAATTCTGTCTGATTAACTCTATGTCTCGTGAGAATCATACCAAATATCTCTTCTAAGGTTGTTCTGTCCCTTTCTTAGCCAAAATGTTTAATAAAAGAATCACACACTTTTTGTTAGATGCAAATTTATTATTCACACTTTTTAATATAAATGAATGAAAAACAAGCACAATAAAGAATATTACAAAATTCAATCAAATGAATTTATTTTTTGAATGCACAAAAATATTGTTACATTTGTGTACATACTCAATAAAGTTTATGAAAGAAAATTTTTAAACTGCAAAAAATATTTCTCGATTATTGAGATTTTGCACGTTGCGACAGTTCCTGTGAATGTGTAGTGCTTTGCTATCAAGTAGTTTTCTAAATCCCAATATCTGTAAACAATATTTACATTAAAAAAATGCTTAATTATTTTTCATAGAAAAGGCACATTTTCAGAATATTATGCATAATTTTAAATGATTGCCTTACAATTCACAAACAATGTCTATGAATATAGTATTACACATAAACAACATGTGTTTCAATTTATTTTCAATGAAAGTTAATATTTTAAAACATAAATTTTTAAGATATAGCATTAAAACTGAATATAATATTATCTTTACCATGTTCTTGATTACAGCTTGCTCATCTGTTCTTCATTAAAGCTTAGTATTATTATACGACCAATACAAATGATAAGTTTAACTTATTCATAAATATATACTTAATACATTTCAATGCCATTTTACCTCGAAAACTCAAAAAGATCCAAAATAAGAAAACTAAATCATGGATTACCACAGGCATCAAAGTGTCGTGTGAAAGAAAACGCAACATGTATAAAATACTAACAAATAACAAATGTAACTCTAACTTCATTTCATATTACAAAACATATAATTCGATCCTAAAAAAAGTAATCAAAGAAGCAAAAATTATAACAAATTATAAGTACATTGCAAATGCACGTAATAAAACAAAAGCTATGCGGGACATTATTAAAAAGAATACAGCACCAACTAATAATTACAAAAAAAAACAGAGCTCCACTACAAAAACAAAACTGTACATTACCCACAAGAAATAGCTGATATATTCAATGAACACTTTTCACAAATTAGTAATAAGTTAATCTCTCAACACTCTCTAAACAATAAACACACAAACGCACACTGAATATTACAAACAAAATTGTAAATTCATTATCTTATATGAAACACCCTCCTCTGAAATTTTTAAAAAATATTGGACAAATGGAGAATAATTTTACAGAGGCACATGGACACATATCACATGATTTCTTATTAAACCACGTGCTTACCATGTTAAGAGAGTGCATACAAGACCACTCTACTCACATCTGCAATTACTCTTCTAAAATAGGCATATTCCAGATAATTCAAACAGACAAAGAATTAAAGCCAATGTTTAAAAAGGGCAATGTTATGATCAAAGACTATCAGACCTATCTCCACCTGTTACCAGCGATTTTCCAAAATTTCTGGAAAGGGTTTCAATGATAGAGTCCAAAACAGTATTCTCCATGCCAAATAATCGTCCCTTACAAATAATCAACATGGCTTCATAGGAGTAATATGATCCATCAGACACTCATGCCATCTACTTGTTAAATGAACAGACTTGTTGCACATAAAATCAGAAAGGAAATCCATTGGCTTTTCTAGATTTTCCAAAAGCCTTTGACATCATTTGACCATCATATTGACACTTTTATAAGAAAACTAGAAATGCTAAGCGATTGATTGGCATTGGTTAGCCATAATGGATCAAATATATTTATAATCCATAGCAAATAGTTTGCCGTCCACTAAGAAAACAAAATCTCCTCATACTACTCTGTACTCAAATAATAAATTGTGGAGTCCCCATGTGATCCATACTTGGGCCAATACTATTGCCTTTATATATCAGAAATGGACATGCTGAAAACAACAAAAGTAATTTTGTTTGCAGATGACACAAACATTCAGTCAGTAAACCAAAACCACACAATATTAGAACAAAGACTAACTCGCAAAACTCTGCAAGCACTAGTAAAATGGTTCAAGAACAACAAACTTTATCATAAACACCAGCAAGACAGTCTCTCTTAAATTTATGAATCCTTGATCTAAAGAAAAAACTCTCAAGCATTTGTCATAAACAATAACCTTGTATGATATCTTCATGAACTAACCCTTCTCGGACTAACAATTCAAGAAAACCTAAAATGGATACACTCACATTCCAATCGTTAACAAGAAGCTCAGCAATTGCTGTGCCTATACACTCTCAGTCAAGCTCCAACGTTGAGACACTTAGAACATGTATTTGCAAATGTGCACCACACTAAAATATGAAATAATATCTGGGGAAATGTCCTGAAAGCCACTCGCACATTTATTATCAAGAGTAGGGAAGTATTGCGAACAATGACCAAGCACTCATGAGCTGGAGTCTTGCTACCCTTGTTTATAAACTAAGGATTCTTCCTCTACCATGCATGTATATATTTTGAAATAGTGGTCTTTACAAAGAATTCTCATGGAAACAAAGACACTTTTTACTTAAATTCTGATGTACCAACTACAATATGCCGTCAAAAGATAACCTACATGTTCCCCCACTCTGAAACTAACTTTATCAAAAAGTACTCAATAGAGGGCAATAAACTTTACAAACAAATAGGCAATGATTATCAAAGACTACACAATTCATACATTTAAAAGTAATTGAAAGCTTTCCTGCTTAACAACATGTTCTACAGTGTAAAGGAATTTTCAAATTACAACATTGCCCTTAAAAAATATAAAGAAATAAGAATTTCTTATCCCATTAGATTTTGTGTTTCATGTAAACTGTTTCAAGCTGAAGCAAAGAAAAAAGAACTGGCATATCGCATCCTGTAAAATAGAAGGAGAATAGAAGAAGAAAAAAAATAATAATAATAAAAAAAAAAAAATAAATAAATAAATAAATAAAAAAAAATCCTGGTCAAAACTTGCCTCCACACCATTTCAAGTTATAAATATAGAATGTACTACTATTGTTAAATTTGATGTAGTTGCAAACATAATTGATATGAATTGTTCCAATATTATTATTATTAATGAAATTATTAATATAATTATTATAAGTAGTAGCATTGAAATAACATATTGAAATGTTAATTATTAGCAGATAATTTATCTACTGTAAAATATCTTAATCTACCTGTAACAAGTATTGTATTTCTAGGCCAATGACCCCATCTCAATCAGGTTTTGTTCAGTTTTCCTTTGAGCAAATGCTGAGATGGCCCCTTGTTTGCTCCTGAATAGTAATATAACTTCGCTCTCTCCACCCAAGGCATCATATTGACTCGTCATACACAATTGTAAGTGTATATATGACTCAATAAATATTATTATTATTTTTATTTAACCAATATTATGATTGTATATGAACAAAGTCATGAGAAAAATTAATATTTCAGGATGATTCTTATGTGAAGCATTCTCCAAGAGTAAAACAACTTGCCTGAGAAGCTGAAACAGCTATTGGATTTGGATACAAAATCCACGTGACTGTTTTACTCTTCAAAGGAGTAGTCAGTGAGCCTGGATAAGTATAATATCCATATTGGCGATTATGTTTTAGCCAGGAAAAGCAGTTTGATGAAATTTCTGTTACAGACTCATATTTACAAATCTTTTTCAGATTATCTGATATTGGTAAGAAGTCTTTATTTTCTATGTCTGAAACCTGAAATACACATTTTGTGTTTTAATATCATAAATAGTATGCAAAACTAGATTTTTCTGTTTATGAGCCCTCTCACCTGAAAGAAAAAGGGAGGGAACTTAATTTGAATCTTGGTTTTCTGATCTCTATAAGTACATTGAAAAACAACAATAAACTTTTGATGGGTTTTACATGGTTCCAAGATTGTCAATGATTTTGTAATTGGAAGGGAAGAGATACTGAAAAGTAATACAACTGAGGGCAGTATTTTTTTACCTGAAGAAAATTACCTATTACTGCAATACCATTCTCACATTCCAAAGCATCAGTTACATCTTCACATCTGATATGTATATGAACAGCATGACACTCCATAGAAAATCTGTGAAACATATAAAAGCATAGGCTTCTGAGACCAGAGTCAATAGATACTTGGCTGTCTGAGAGACTCAGAATTCTATGCTTAGTTTACAACGTTTCAGATGTCATACTGAAACATGCAGGGGGAAGTGCCTAGGTCAAAGCATCTCCTGGACAGCCAAGTTTCTATCTGTGGAACAAATACTTAAAATTAACAGTTGTGAGTCAGACAATTTACTAAGAACTGATTCTATTCATACAGTGTTTACCATCACTATCCATACAGTATACTACTGATATAGAAATTATATTATTCAACAAAAAATAGGTTCTCATAAAAAAATTACATATCTGTTTTATTTTTTAGGGAATACATACGGCTTTCCATCCAATGTATGTTCACTGCCTGCGTAATCATCAGTGGACCAATGAAAATGTAACTGTACAAATTTGTAAGAACCACGCAATGGCCCTCCTTCTAAGAGAGGTGTCCGACCTTTTAACATAACTGCAGCTGTTAAAAAAAAGCACATTAAGTCTTATGTATAGGTATGAAATCACCTTAATATAAAGTAAACCAAAACAACAAGTGGTACTAGAACAGCAGATATATCCTCGTATTACATGTAACATTATATATAATAGGTATTATAATATTGCAACAATTGATGTATCAACCAACACCTGAAAGTTTCTAGACAAATGAAGTGTAAAGGGTTTAAAAAGTAATAATTTTTTAAGTTTTAATTTTTTGAAAATGCAAAAGAGTAAATGTAAATGCATTCTTGTCATTGAATTCAGTGAACACAAACATAACAATACCTGAGGCAAGAGACATTCTCTGGTGCTATCAAAGTTTGGGTTATGTCTAGTGCATTTAAAATGCTATAAAAAAGTCTTAATGTTGTGGTGATTTGAAAAATAATATATTGAAAAAAATCGTATATAACAAAATTTAAAGATAAAATTTTGAAGAACAGATTTAATTAACTGGGGAGATTCCAGAGCCACCTACAGGTGACATGTTTTATCATTTTCTATAAATAGTCATTTATAAATTTGAGTAAATTGGTGTCATCAAACTCCTGTTGCGACCTATCTTGAACATACTGAAATCAAAATTTGGCTCCACTACTTCTAGGGATTTGTTATTTTTATTTTTTCAAGATGTCTTGCTGTAATTTTGACGCATCATGCTCTTTCTTCCAGCAAAAATTTGAAGATAAAGGAAGTACAAATAAACAATAACTTGTTTATTGCAATTTCAAAACTGCAAATAATTCATTAGTAATTGTCATTTGATAATTATTTGTTGATGACATGGATTTTACACACTGCAAATCCAAAATGTCACTTCCAGGTTACACTGAGTGTTGAGCCTGTTTGATATGTAGGATCAGTGCTATGGCATGATCTCGAGAAACACGCATTCTTGTGCATTTTGTTTTTATCTTTTGCAGTCTAGAAGTGTATGGTAGTTTAGAAATGATAGATGAGCATTAGCAAAATGATAGTTTTCTTTTGTTACCTCTTAGTGTTGCTCTGTTCATTGATGAAGAGACGTGACGAAAGTAAAAGGAACTTCTGAACTCAGTTGTTGAAGTTCACGGAATGATGGAAGATGATTCTGCTGCAGGAAATACTTATCAACCAGATGTAGCATGTGAAGAAATAGTTTAGAACAGCTATGAAATGAGACTCTTTGGTCAGGAAATGTTACAAGAAGAAAAACCCTACTCAATCTCAAACCCAGTGGGTTGAAGATGAAAGCTATTTTCGTCTCAAATATGGCAAAAGAGAGGGCACCAAAAATGACGAATATTCTTTGAACCCAAAACAAGCACATTACTTGGCTTGTAATGAAACAGTCAAAATGACACAGAATTTACGTACTGCAACTTTTGAAAGTGATCGTCCAAGTTAACTCTGGTTTGTATAATGGGAAGGTGCATCAGAAGTCTCCCCTGCTGGAGCCTCCATCAAAGGTCAAGTGCAACCAAAAGTAAGAAGAGATTCTGATGTAAACCACATTAGAATAGAATGTTCATAGAGAAGATTCAGTATGTCACCGATACACAAGAATCAGGTGCTAAAAGTGCAAAGTAGCACTTCATTTACAGTCTTGGTACAAATTTCAAAATACAAATGATTGTAAAAAAATTATTTTCTACTTTTAAATTCAATTTCATGTGTTATTTCGTACTTTCATGTGCAAAAAATCTCTAAATTCGAGTCCATTTGATAAATAGGATGCAAATGCTTATAAATCGTTTTGGTGCATTTTATTTTCACTGGACCCCCAATGCCCAGTACCATCTCCAGTTAACCCCCCCTCCCCCATAAAACAAAAACAGCAGAATTGATTTAGATAATTACCTGCTCAAAGGTTAAAGGGATGGATTAATAACTACCATTCAGAACGTCAAACCAAAATCTCCTATATTAAAACAATGGGAATTACCAGGTTAAGAGAAAAATCTATATCTTCAATCATGTAAATATAGGAGGGTTTGAAAAATGCCTAACCTTTGCAATTTCAAAAGAATCAGAGGATTTAATGAAAAACAGATCTGCGCCATTTTTATAAGCATTCATTGCTCCATTTGAGCAAAAAATTAAACTAAACATTTGGAGCCATTTTTGAGAAAATTACAAAGATGTCTTAAAAGTTTCTTGTAAGTATCTCTCAAAATTGAAAGAACCATTTTAAATTGACAGTAATGAAATTTTGAACAAACACACTTTTTTGGTATCAAACTCCAAAACATCAAAATTTTGACATCGATTTTTTACAGCATTAAATTACTTTTTCTATACTGTGTATGTGATAAAAATGAACCTATCACATATCCTCTATCAACAAGTGGTCCTAACTTTGCAGTATTTGCTGAATAACAGACTCCTTGATATAATATTTGATATTTTGTTCAGATATATTTTCTTATATATTTTTGTCTTTAAAGTTGATTATTTTATCTTATTTGTCATTTTCTATTACATCATACTTTACTTACCAGTCTGATTTGTGTTATAGAGAAATGCCTGTCCTTGATCTTTCATGAAGTCTGTAAAGACCAAAGGAGCAAAGTGCTTACGAGTAACAAGTTGAGTCCAAATATTGATTGGGGACTGTAGCTCAGAACAAGAACTAATCTGAATAAATGGCCAAAATTCTGAAAGAAAAACATATGCACTGATTATTAAACATCCTTGTATTTTGTGTTATAAATTTGTTATCTTATTTACAATGTAAATCCCATTGTTTAATTAAGTAAAATTTATTTGAACTAAGTTGATTTCAATAATTCACAAAAGATGTGATGGATGTCCCATAATATTGCAGAACCTGGGCCAGGAAATTATTCAGATGCATACAAGTTTGAGAACAAGGTCAAAGAGTGTTTTATTTTTTTAAATTGCTTTTTTTCATTACTTTCTTAAATGGTAAGAAAAATATAAATGGCCCAGATCTGAAATGTTTCTATTTATCTACACGATGTTATTGCAAAGATCTTTGAAAGAAAAGAAAGGAAAAAAGAAAAGTTAAGAGAAGTGCAATTTTGTTGCAGTATACTTGAGCGATATTCAGGTACCATTGGCCCTAATAAAACCTTAACTGGCAGACAAAAGTAATAAATGACAGTATTGTGTAAATTTGAATTATTCAATGCAATAGTCACCCATCAGAGAATCAAAGTCAGGACATGGAGCCCAGCAGCTCTGACTCATGAGCTACTGAGATGACCAATGCTTTGAATGTTTTTGTAAGCCTTTCTTTTGCCTGTTTGCATGATAATTAACAGCCCATGCAACAAGGTGACAAAGTGGTGACAATCAATTATCAGTAATTTGCAAAGGACTTAAAAAATCTAAAAAGTACTTCTGAATCAGTTTTTCTTGACACTAGTTTTTGACCTGACAGCTGATGTGGCAAAGAGATGAAAAGTGATTGCCAAAGAAGAACTTACGTTCAAATAAATAAATATACATTTATTTTTCAATTTCAATTCACTTTCAATTCAAATTCCTTGGGTCTTGAAAATATTCAAATTAACCAACTAATTACTGTATTAAAATTATTTATTTCAATAAAGTATTTATATCTACTCAATGAAGATTATTAAAATTTGGGCTTTTCCCATTGACCTAACTGCATTTACAATTAGGCCACATTCATCTTTTCAATGTTCTTTGCACACACACTTCCTCTCCTCCTCCTTTCCCCTCTCTCCTTCACTGTTTTGCTGTCTCTCACTTCACTTGATCTCACTCTTTCCCTTGCACTGCTCTCCTCTTGTGTGTGTGCTTTTCACTTTTACAATGAAACTGAAAAAAATATTGAAGGTTCCCAAAATCAAAAAGGCATTCAAATGACAACAAAGTTTTTTGTCTCTACATTGAACAGTTGAATTTTTCAAAATTTTAATGTCTTTGTTCCGTATCAGTTTGGAGGAAATAATCTGCAACAGTTTGGAACATGTTGAAAATTATGGAGGAATCTTTCATAGCATTCTCAGAAATATAAAATTTTGACTCTCCATAATCTGAGTGTTACCTTTAAAAATGAAATGAGAGATTGTATATGATTCATTTGTTTTAATAAGAATTTCATTACCATTTATTATTAATTCATGTTAATGTAGAAAACAGAAATAACTTTGAGTACCAAGGTGTGACCTCTGTATGTATATTCACAATGTTTTTTATCATTCAAAAAATTAGTAATTAAATTACTTGCTAAGTCTTTACTGTAATAATAATAATTACTAAACAAAATGCACAGCGAGAGCGAAAATGCTTAAATGAAAGATTTTACAAATTAAATCTCAGAATGGAAAATGTAATACTTTTATAGATTGAAATGACAAGATTTAATATCTTTATACCCTATCTCATTAACTTTTCACTTTTCCTCTTCGCTAAAGTTGTTTTCAGATTTCTCTTTTATTTTGAAAATATAATTAGCATAAATTGTTGTAATGTGAAGTATCTTAAATTCTTACCAATTTCATGAATCCTTCCAGGCAAGTTTTGTTGAAGGGAGCATTGATGATGATAATTATTGGCGATTTGCTTACAATGATTTTCCAAAGCCTGTATTTCATCTGCTGATCTCCTTATATGCATTTCAGTGTAAGGGTATCTCTGAAGAGCTCCAACAATCTGAAAAGAATAAAAGGAAATAATATTTCACTCGTATCAGCGAACTGGTCTTAAATTTACATGATTACTCTTGATATGGAATAATAAACAAAGACTAGAGGCAATGAAAATGAAATTCCTACATCATCTTGGTGGAGTGACACTAAAGGATAGACAAAGGAATAAAGACACCAGAAACAAGTTAAAGGCTAAAAATATAGTAGGAGAAATAAAGGATAGACAGAGAAAATGGCTCTCTCTCATTAAGAGAATGAAACAACAAAGATTCTCAAAAGCGGTGTTGAGATAGAAACCGACATGGCAAAGGGATATGGAAGATCACAAAATAAATGACTAGATCACAAACTCCTGGAGGTGTAAGCCTCCTGGTCTATTGGGAAACAGGAACGGGTAACAGGCCTAGCAACCTGCAATTTATGATGATGATGATGATGATGATGGAATAATAAAATGAAATCTTTGGGATTTGTAAATAAATTTGGTTGAGAACATTGTGGTTAAGAAAAGTGAATAATATTGGATTTGGATATTAAAATCTCACCTCATTTTGTGATGGTAAAGTCCTCTTTGATGAAACACATCTGAGATTGTTTTTTAAGAGGGTGTGACAATTAACATGCTCTTTATTCCAATCAGAAACTATTTTCAAAGTTTTTGAATTGCAACTTGAAAGATGACTAGGTTCTAAAGAAAAAAATTGAGGATGAAAGCACTGTAAAAGATAAAATTCAGACATAAACTTCATCATATTTTACTAGGTTCTGACTTTCTCACAATCAAGTCACAACTTTCATAAAAATGCGAGTCATATCTTTTAGAAATTCATTAAAAAACTGCAGCAGTGATATGTGTGGGAATTCATTGAAAAAAGTGAAGCAGTGAACATAAATGCATTAAATATATTTATTATTAGAAAAATATTACACTTTTAATGTGAAAACTCACCTTACTAACACAGTATTTTTTGTGGTGAAGTATGGCTGCACATTTGATGATGTTCCACAATGATCGCGGTACTTTTGCCAAAGTACATCCCACAAAGAGCACAAAGAGGAGTATTCCCCACATATTATTTACTGATGAAGTAAAGATTTTAAAGTTGGGGCTAAAGGATGCAAATCAGTACTGAACTTTAGTTTTCAGTGTGGCATATACATTTATAGAAAAAACATTTTTTTAAGCAGATTTTTAAAATTCAAAAGGATAGGTATTTTTTTTATTCTAATGGAGAAAATACTTAATTAAAATTGAAATAAATCATTTCAAAATCATCAAATACTAATTGTAGAATTAGAAATTGTAATTTTTACAAAATACAAGATTACTGAGGGGTTTATTTCTCTTCTTACAAGACAATAAATTATTGACATGTTAATAAAATATATGACATTAAAAATACATTAAGATAGTATCCTCTAAAACGGCTCTATATCAGAAAACTAGTTCTCTAAGTTTGACAAAAAATGAAACAGATTTTCACTTACTTGTTTATTTGGACACCTGGACTCACTATGAAATACATGAACAAAATTCCACATATAAAGAAATATGATCTACAATAACCAACATTGCTGAAGAATGCTAGTTTTAATTTTGCAGGCACAATTAAAGTTCTTGCTTTAATAAATTTAAAGAACAGAGGCATCATCAACCTGCAAGGAAATGTACAATTGTCGAAAAAGTATTGGTTTTGAAACATTAATAATAGCAAATTAGCTGTATCACAATGATATTTACATAACTATAATAATATTGAAACATAGCTGAAATAATTAGAGATTCGGTCTGAGGACGAATCAGTGGTGTATTTGGGAAGGGAGTTAAGGGGGATCATAATTTCTCCTTCCTCTAAAAATTTCTCTCACTAAAACAGAAAGCAAACTAATGGAGCAACATAAATGCACAGAATTTCTGAAAATAACTGGTTTTCTATTTTCTTCGGTGTTTAAATGTCTATCTGGGCATCATGCTGTATCTAACACTCCTCTGAGGTGTATTGAAATGTATCTTTGAACTCCCAAAACTCAGATAGACCTTTCTTTGCTCTGTACTTTTGTATATTTGCCTATTCCAGTTCCTTAATTAAACAAGAATGTACCCATTTGCCTGACAGACCACGACATTAAGGAAGGATTATGGTACCTACAAACATAAAACATGAGGAACTTGGAATGCTCCTCACTCTTCAATCACAACCGAAAACATTTATTCCTTATGAGGGTATTGATACAGTATTAAGTGTTCACATCATTAGGCATACACACCCCAAACCACTATTTCATGAGGCTGAATTACTTGACTGTACTAATTGTAAATATGTTATGTATTTGTAAAATAATAATTTGATAAAACTAATAATATAACTAAAAGAACATTTTTGTACTTATGTGGCCTTTTCTGTGCTTTGTAGCATTAAGTCTGTATTTTTGGATGACTTTGACACAATTTGTTTTTCTAGCAACAAAGCAAATAAGATTTCATTAAAATCTAACCACATTACACTCCATAATGAACAATTTTCTGAAAATTTTTAACTAACTCTACAGAAAATCTTGTAGAACATATTTCCAGCACACATCAGCTATTCAGTAGTTCAGATTACTTTAATGTAATATGTATATTGGGGAAATTGTGTTTTATCTTAAAAACCATAATAACCATAATGTTTTAACCATAATAGTAGAATTGAAATACAATTTTAAGTATGTAATAGAAGAGTAAAACCTGCAGTTACATGCAAATTATCATGTGAAAATGTTCTTAAAGTGTTTATGAAAATGCACAACTATGAACGTTTACGAATATGCATGGAAAAGTTTTCACTTTTCCAGAAATGAATATAATTAATTACATGACAATAATTAAATAAATAATTGTGCAGAACAAATTTCCTTAGAAGAAAAACCTGCTATCTTCAATAATATTATTGTATGAAGGGGTCCAAAAATCAGTTTTTGAAAACTGAGATTTAACATTGAAAATAGGACCTATACCAATTTTATAAGTGTATTTTATTGTATTCTTACAAGACATTTAAAGGAAAAATATGGAGCCATTTTTGAGAAAATTTTGAAAATGTCCAAGAGGTTTCATGTGAAGTACCTCCGAAATTTCAAGAATTCTTTTCAAAATCATAGGACTTTGAGTCGGAAAAGATTGACTGAGAAATATTCACTTTAGCAAAAATTCTTCAAGTAGTAGTTTAGGCGCTTGTTCAGAGGCAAACGGACGGGCAAACAGAAGGCTTGAAAACAAGTTCTCCACAATTAGTCCTTTAATTCTTGTCACATTTGTTTTTGAAAAAAGTAGTTTCTGCGTAATTTTTAGTGCCAATATTAAAAACAAGATTTTCTCCAAAGGGGTTTTTTGGGATAATTGTATTGTAATATTACATAAACGTCATTTTGAAGTATTCTTTTGATTTATCAAAAATTACACAAGTGTAATTATTTTTATAATCCTGCGCATTTCACTACAGGACAGACTTTCAAACGCAAGACTCCAAGTTATCATATCCTCCAAGAACGTTTCGCAGCAGGCTGCAAGAATTAAATGGAAATGGGCGGTTCACGTTGCAAGACTACACCAAGCAGATGGGCGCAGAAGACCACCATGTGGGATCCATACATCGCAAGCAGAAGCCGGGGAATACCAAGGAACCAGATGGACCGACAATTTCAATAGACTAGTGGTCAAGTGCAGCGAAGTGTAGAACAATTTGGAAGGGTTATGAGAGACATTGTTGGGAAGTGCAGAAGTTCAGTGCTAATTCATACTTATGTGGAATAGCTCACCACCACTAAAAGAGTTTTACAAGAACTTCCCCTCTTGCAGGAGGCCTTTGCCCTTTACAGAACTCACCAGGCTCATTCATTCATTCAATTATTTGTATATATCCCTCGTGTCGTTAATATTTAAATCGCGCGCGTCTACACATTATTGCATTTGTGGGTACAAGTGCTTCAAATGTTTCATTATGAAGTAGCGAAGTAAAGATCAACCAAAAAAATAAAAACCAACTTGGTCGAACTCTCTAGGCTGTTTGGAGGAGAATCCTAACGAGCCCCTAAGAGGTTTTCGTGGTTTCTCCGATCGGCGCGCGACCTTCACTTCCTCAACCATGTTCCTTTCTTCCGCTTACAGCCCCCTCACACACACACACACACGCACACGCACACGCACACGCACACGCACACGCACACGCACACGCACACCGCACCGTACGGAGCTCCACACGCACACGCGACAAGCGCACGACGCACACGCCACACGCAACGCACAGCAACACGCACACGCACACGGCACACGCCACGACGGCACCACGCACACGCACGCACGACCACACACACACACACACACACACACACACACACCACCCACAACACATGCACAAAAGCACACTTTTTTAAAACTGGATCTTTCAGTCTTCATAAAATTTAACATGGAATCTGAGATTTTTTTGTCACGGCAGCGACCAGTCATTCTTATAGTTTTGACGAAGAGAAAGGTTTTAGTATCTTCTTTCCTCTATATATGGTTTTGAGACGGCCCTGCTTCTATCATTTGTTCGGGGAGGTCCTGAGCCCCATAGATTTAGCGCCTATGTACCACACTCATCGTAATCAAAGTAGGTGACGCGTCTACCCCTTACGAAACAATAAATTCTGTCTCTTCTTACTCCAATGACGTAACATTTCATGTGTTGAAATTAATGCAAACAACTTGCAGGCATTGATGTATCTTATATGAGAGAACATATAAGATACATCAGTAGGATTCAACGATGAGATAAAATTGCAGTATGATCATAAAGCATAAATAGAACCGAAAATGTTAAAAATAGAACTCGAACTCTTTTATCTTCGGAAAATTTCTAAAAAACGTTTTGGTTTCCAAGAAAAAAGCAAGACAGCGCCTAGTCAACGCTGGTGCTCTTTGCGACTGGCAATAGCTGTTTACACAGTGGTAGTAAGGGCATGCAAGATACACTTTTCTCGCTGCTCTTAGCTTATATCTGTTCTTTGCGACGTGCTGGTGATAGTATTCGGCATGCAAGTCAAGTCAAGTCGTCCACTGTCTATACACAATGGCATCTGTACACAGACAAGCAATTTTGACGTTGCATTTGATGACTTCAACTGCAAGCGAAGAGCTTTCGAAATTGCTGCTAGAGAAGGAAAGAGAAAAGGAGTTCGACAATGGATGCAAAATAAAATGGTAGGGGCATCCCTAAGTATTTTAAAAGAATATCATGAAAATGATCCTCAGGAGTTTAAATCGGTTATGAGCCTTTTACCGGAAAATTTTTTGAAACTAATTATTGTAATCATAAGCTTACGTTGACCACGCGGATCACCATGCAAGTATAAAGTATATTTACATGTATTATTCATTGACTAAAAGTAGTGCCCCTGTACTCCTGCCGAGTATACTGTAGAGGTTAGCTGTAGAGTATCGAAAATTTGCCACGGTCCACACTCGATCCCTAGGATATCCTAGGATCCCTAGGATATCCCTAATGTTTCAGTGGCAACAGTTGTGTTTGACGCAACCCGCTTGACGGTGCTGCGTTTACAAGCTCCGTGTTGCAGCGACCCCTGCAATTATCGTACTTCATTAATAGTTGGGAAATTGAGGAGTATCAGACGAAGAAAGAAGGAAAAGGAAGAGAAGAAAGAAATATAGAAAAAGAAGAACATAAGAAGAGGAAGAAAGAGACAAATAAAAATAAATTTTTAACATTTTTTTCGACAAAAAAGGAAAGGGCTAAGAAGACGTCAACGGAGAAGGAGAAAGAACAAAGAAGAAAGAGATGAAATACAGAAATAAGGTAGCGGAGATGAAAAGAAGAAGAAATGAAAATGAAGATGAAGAAAATAATAAAGAGGAAGAGGAAATACACTATAAGATAAATAAGAAAGACACGACGATGAAGATAAGAAAGACACAAATAAAAAAAGAAAAGAGAAAGAAGAAGAAGAAAGACACAAAGAAAATGGAAAAAAGAAGAAGAAAGGAAGAAATCGTACAAGGTGAAGACGATGAACAGGATGAATAAGGCGGACAAGGAGCTGGAGTAGGAGACAGTCTAGAAGGCGGTGGAGAAGAGTGATTCGAAAGAGGATGGGAAGGAGAAGATGCAGGAATAAGTAGATATTTTGACTTAGCCCAGAAGTGTGTGTTATGTACTTACTAACGAATCGTATTTATGCACATTCTGATTCGTTCACACTCGCTAATGAAGCCTCGGAACAGAGAGGCCACGACAACTAGTAAACAAATAACTCTGTATCTTGATAGGAATTTGCTACCTGGACTGCAAAAGCTATTTTACACATTATAGCGTTCAAAAGACACTCAAAAGTTCAAAGGTCAAATGTTCCTTAATAAAAAATTGAAGTTCAAATGCCGCATTCAATTGGATTTGTCTTTTATAAGGAGACAAGGTACAGGAAGAACCAGGTGTGCATTCCTATGTAGTTGGCTACATCCGCGACTGCCTATTAGATGATAAAGGATATTACTCAAACTCGAGCCCAAACTTGAAACTACTCAAAATCAATATTTCCTCCGCGGAATAAATACTCCTTGGTACATAACAGGGGTGTCTAACTTGCAAGGCCTCAAGGACCACGACTAAAACCTTTAATAAGGTTGGGGACCATATTTTCATTACTCGGACGATCCACACCACACTCCCCCGTATTGTTGATCTCGGCAGTGCGGCTGCTCTGAAACGGGTGAGAGTGGAACCATGCGTAATGCCATGCAGGATTTTTAAGGGCGAGAAAATCCTTCCTAAGCCTTCTTTCGGAGGAAAAGTAAAGCCGGCAGTCCCATGTTAGTAGATTTACTGCATGTAAAAGATCTTCAAGCCAGAAATGAAGCCTCTGAGTGAAATTCAAATCGCCTGTTTCGCCGCACAAGAAATACCTCCTTTCTTCGCTAGTGGATGAAAGGAGCGTAGCGAAATTTCCGTGGTCAGACGGAAGAGCGGACCTGATGGCCTGAGTCTCGCCACGTAAAATAAGGCATCAAAAAGTGAATATTTCAGTAATTTTCCAGAAATATTGTAGGAGATTCATGTGAAGTACCACTAAAAATTAAAATATCTAAACGATCTCCAACTAGATCTTTTTCTTCGCGTATTTAACAAACTTTCAGCTCAAAATATTTTAATATGACAGAGTTATGCGTGACACATTCATTCATCCACCTGGACAACCACACATACAAATCGAATACAAAATTTCACATCTCTCCTCTCTATCTTCACCAATGTTATCTTTGGAACAGTACTAACATACCTTTATCTTGGCACGCGTACAAATTGAGGAGAAATAAGGCACGGATTTTCCGAAAGATTCCGATCATTTTGTTGAGGCGATTCCAATACTTTTCCTCCCTAGGCTATAGTAGCATAAGAGGAAATGTTAAGAAACTACCTTTTTAGTCCAGTCACCTTTTTCGTTAATGAAATTTCTACTACACTAGAGTAAAGCAGCGACTTAACCTGCGTAAAAAGCAGCAGTGAATACTCCTAAATACAAATACTTAACACACCATATCCGTAAACTTCTCTGCTTTGGCATGCTCAATACTCGCAGGACAGTGTAGAAACAACATTTTACAGATTATTTCTTTACATATTCATTATATTATTACGATGTTATATGATTTCAGTATTATTAATTTACAATGCGCGCAAAAAGTCAAAGAAAACTTAGCAGCCTCCGGCCATATGAGAAGTGTCTATGGTTTCGATAGATACCCAGGAACTCAGGAAAAATACAAAAATAATGAAGGTTTATTTTTTACTGAAATAGCATACATAACATCTATGATATGTACGTTATATATTATACGTTATATGTATGTTATTATCTCTACTCTCATAATGCATGTTCCGACAGAACTCTTATATGGCCGCCGCTGCTTACGACAAAGTTTACGTCATACTTGTACGACAGCAAGGTTCCAACGAAAATACGGTCGGTTTTTTAATATTTGTTATTCACGTGTTTCGTTTCAGAATGACAATTTTGTTGTTATTTTTGATATGTAAAGAAAAGTACCTATACTACACACTATTATTCCAGTATTCGTGAAGATTGCTTTTGTTAAACATTTAAGGTATTGCAGAGTTATAAGAGAGGATTTGATTTGTTGTACTTGAGCAGGGTGCTTGCTACTTTTTGGAAAAACAGTTTTTTAGTGGGATATTTGTTCCTTAAAGCCTTTCTAATAAATTCTAATAAAAGGGGCTTTCTAATTAGATATTTCCTCACATTGGGCATTTCTACCAGTAAGTTCCTAATGCAGGTAAAAAAGATAAAGAGACTATTAAGTCTACACTAAGTAAATAAGTATCAAAATAAAAATTATGTAAAAATGAAATGAAAATAATTTTATATTTACTCATTTCATGCTTATATTATTTTCCACACTCACCATGCAACACATTGTGAAGTCCGGTACACAACATGACACAAATGTAAGGATATGTCGCTTGAAAATGATATCCATGCTTTGTGCCAAGAACTCTTAATTGCATCTGTGCTATTTAAAACATTTGCTGAGCAGTTCATATCTTTATCAATTCTGAAATTAACATTAACAGCTCACATATATTAGTATTGATACAATATTTGAAATCATTGCACTGACAAGTAAAAGTAGTTTTATTTACAATGATGACTCAATAATCGCTATTTTCACTATCAATTATCTACATAATTAAAACTAGTACTGCTTCAGAATGGCACAGACGTTATCGCACTAATTTATTTTCTAATCTCTTTAGGCATTAGCTACCTTTTGTGTATTGCCTCACCCTCTTCCTTGCTGTTACCTATTGGCATCAAAATTCATTTTTCACATTATCTCTGTTTTTCGGCCCCCTAGTATTAGAATTGAAATATGACTTTAAAAATAGCACAGAAGAGGAAAACGTGGTTCTATAAGTATATTTTCAAAGAAATGTTTGAAATTTGAAGTTTCAAGAAAACAATTTGCAACTGTTTTTGAGAAACAATTGTTCGAACGTATTTGAAAATGCGCCATTCTGAACTAATTTTTCACACAAAACAATTGAGCTTTTGAAGAATTTCATAAGTGATCTTTGGAAACACGTGTACTCTCAAATGAAAACAGTATAAAAACGTCCGTGATGTAAACGAGACAGATTTTCCAAAAACTTACGTTTGTGTAATTTTGGGAATATCAAACGAATACATCATAAAGGGGTTGAAGGCACAAAGCATTCGCCACTATCCACAAAAAAGGTTAAATACAAACTTGGATCCGTTTTAAAAAGTCTTATTTTTAAAATTGCTTTAATTTCACGTAAAATTAAGCAAAACCTATTCAAAATTTGAAAAAATTGTAAGTGATCGCATTTAAAGATTAATTTTAAAAAATAGATTTCATTTCAAAGAAAATACGTATCTTCTATTCTGTAATTGTAAGATGTTGCAGAAAAAGTGTTATTTCTACAGTTTTCGAAAATTTAGATAATCAAAAAATGAAACCTGCGCCATTTTCGCGTAAATTCCTCTGTCCGATAAAACAATAATTCAGAAGTATGGAGCCATTTTTGAGAAAAATTTGAAAATGTTGAGGCTTCAATTAAGATCTCACCCCCCCAAAAAAATATCATTTCATATTTAAGGTGCTGCGACATCAGCCAAATTGATCGGAGAGTTTCAATTGTAATAAAAATCCTCCTTCATTTTAGCCGTTGCTCACAGTGGACTGACGGACGGATAGTCAGAAAGGAAAGGCATATTGACGAAAGCCAATTTTCATGTATCAACACAATGTATGTATCAACCAAATTTCAATTTTATGTATCAACACAAAACGTTAATTACGCAACGCGCAACGCAACGCGTTGAAAGTAATTTATTCCTTCTCTTCATAGGGACAAGAATTATCCACTTTTCTGTGTAGGGGACCTCCATATAATAATAATTTTTCTGTCGAGAAATCGCAGTTTTTTCGCAGCAGGAGGTAAAAAGCAATACGTCGCTGATTGCAACAGAGTAAGAACACTTTGTGTCAATTGTAAAAATTAGCAAACCGTCAATTTAGCAAGCAGAACTCAGAAGATTTATTTTTTATCTTTTGGGTAGCCTAAATGCTCCACATTTTAGCCTTTCATTTCTCAAAGTAGATGTGCAACCTTCATTTTCTTTTCGTTTTACTGTAGTCTTTAAATTATCTTGTTCGTGTTAATCGCTCTATTTACAATATAACCGGATTAATTTGGGACCCTTCCTGAATATCAATTTGTCCGTATTTACGGAAGAACCAATGAAAGTGATGATAGACGCCTTTAACATCATCAACAACAACAATAACAACAACATTAACACAACAAAAGAAAACGCTCAAGCCGTTTATAATTCACTCTTATAGTTACAAAAGTGAAACGGACAAATAAAACCTTTTTTGTGATCATAAAATTATTAATGTAGTAATTGTTTTACGCTTTTAATCACAGAAAAAATACTCTACTACAAATATGTACAGTATTTTATGTAGTCTACTGTAGTCCAGTACATCTTGTCTTATTGTATGAACAGTAAATCTTCACATTCAACAAATTACATTATGTACGAATACAGTAAAGTAGTCATAAAAATACTGTACTTAGAAAAAAAGTATAGAGTTTTTGAGTATATACTACGCATACACAATATTCACGTCATGCGTTTTTTTTTACCAGAATTGAATCCAGATTTCTAAAGATTCGGATTGTTGACGTCCGGATTATTGGTGCTCTGCTGTTTTTTCTCTTTAAGGTAGTATTTTCAAAAGGAAGTGTTTTAACTTGCGGCATTGACACGACCTCTTATGAATCTACTTGTTTTTGTATCTGAAACGGAATAAAAACTATGCAAGATTAATGATAACACTCATAAATAATGGTGAGGATCGATTTCGCAAATAATGTTGCTTGCTTCCATGGTGTGACGCACTCTTCTCAATAATTTATAACGCTGCCCCGCAATTTTATATGTACGCAATTTCATTCCGCTTGTCTCTTTCAATATCTGATGGGTTGATTCAAATGTTTTCATAGTTTTACGAGAAACATTGTAGTTAATTAAATACAAGTGATAGCCACAACACTGAAGTCAGCCCTTTGCTTCTAAAAGTGTGAGTAAATAATATCTGTAATTGTACGTTCATATTTAAGTTACATAAAAACAAGTCTCAAACTCAGTTACAAAAATTGGCAATAAGCAATTCACATGACACTTCGCGCAGAACAGACAAGCATGCACGTCGATATCATACACATGAATTATGTGTGCTTACCTGATATAACTGTCGCTCTTCTCTCACTATTAACTACATCAATTATACATTCGATCGACTCGTGCATTTGACTATTTGCTTGAACATCGATAGTTTAACAAACGTCAATCAACAAACGCAACTGCACGCAAATGCAAGCAATTGAGCACTGTGCGTTGCAGCATTTGCAGAGACCCGCAATTCCCCCTCCCATCTCCGCACGTGTTACTTGGCTTGCGCAAACCGCGCGCCATACAAATTTATCGGCAGGTTCGAACCAAGGAATTCCAATATGCAAGGCCATTCCCACAGAAATTTGTCAGATAACTATGATTAGTATCATTGATAAAATATTCACATCATATAACATAATATATTGGGACTATAACATCGTTTATTCTTCTGTATCACTTCAACACAAGACTTGCACACTTGTTGCCCCAAGGACTTTCCTAGTCAATACTACTGCGCGAATTAAATGTTGCCAACTCTATAGAATAGAAAGAAGGAAGGATTAGTGAGGTATTTGGTACAACATTTGTAACGGAAAGTAGAGACAAATGTTTAGTGAAATGAAATTCCTAGCAGAAAGAAACGGTTGGAGAAGGTATCTTTCAATCCACTATTCATTAGGGTCCGCCGTAACGGAGTTTCATGCTCAGCGACGCAACACACAACGCAATGATCTATTAAAAGTACACAGAATAAGTCGACTATCAATATTATTCCCCATACGTAACCAACAGAAAGCACACAATATAACAAGCAACACATTTTTAGCGTTAATGTCCTGTGACGACACATCGAACTGTCACAGTTTGATGGCGGAGATCTGTTGATGTGCGCGCTGGATGCTGTGGAGAATTTTTTAATGCAGGGCAGATCCTTTACATGTTACTACTGAAGATATAACATAACTCTCGGCGCTCAATAACAAAGAAACGTGATGGGTGAACTTTGCAGACTTTTGTCGTCCAGTGTATTGAGCTTGCCCGTTTCACGGCGCTGGATGGCGAGATCCAACCGACCTACCGTCGGCTAGCGGGGTTTACCCCAACCAGGTACCACCCACCAGCAGCGCACCGCCCCTGCCGGGTAGGGTACAGCTCCGGCATTCGCCTGGTGTTGATCGGAGAAACCATTAGACACTACCGATCAGAGCAGCCAGCCGCTCGCCCTAGCTATCTGGCTATTATCGAAAATCCTGCCAATGTCGGGACTCGAACTCCAGAACCTACCGATCAGATGCTCTGCAGTGACATCAGTTGATTCCCTGAGCCACATCTTCCGGTTTCATGGTAGAGTTTTATGGCCGAGTAAAATTCTCATGTGTCCTCACGCTTTAAGATCATTGCTCAGCGCGTTTGCTTTCCATTTCGCGACCGCGGGTTTGATTCCCATTCGGGCAAGATTATAGTGAACGTTTTCTTTGCAATGTCCCGGTATATGTCGCTGTGTGACGAGGAGACTTTTCAGGTTGAAAAGTCCAGAACACGGCATAGGGATATCTTCGTGCTAAACAGGCGGAACGCCGCTGGTAGGCCCAGACTTCGTCAGAGGTTGTTGCGCCGAACGACAGAGTTCCTCATGGTTTTTGGTCTCTTCCATTGCACTTTCTGTAGCGAGTACATGTAGCAATGAGATGTTAAATATATCCATGTCTGTTGATATAGTCTGTGAGCGCTAGTTGATGAAGCCTCCTACAACTATAATAATGATAAGAGATTTTTTCTTTAAGTGAGATTTGTTCTCCACTATTTACCAACTATTTATATAATTAATAATATACACATTTGAAAATAATTGTCGTTTTTGCGTAACTTTCAGTGAAATGTGAGCAATGTCTGAAACAAGTTTTACTAAAAAACGAGTTCAATTTTTTCTATTAAACTTGTTATACGAATAATGCTAAATGTGTTGAATAAATCTGCATCTACATTTTGATGTACTCTTTCGATTTTTCAAAAAAAATAATCAAATGTAATTTATAAGTCTCGCGCTTAATATTTACATTAGGTCGTTTTATACAATTTTTATTAATACAATTGCTTTCAATTATTTCTCATAAATTTTCTCGAAAGTTTTCTGTGAAAATGTGGTCGAAAATGCGGATCTTCAGAAACGTTCAAACATTTTTTAAAAACAATTCCAAAATTTTCATTGAAAATTTAGATATCTGATTAGGTATTGCTCTTTTGTAATTTTATTTGTCCCATGTCAATTCTACTATTATTATTCTATTTTACTAAAAATTGAGAAAATGAGAAAACAATTCTTTTAGTTGCTGGGGGACGCGTGGGACAATACGGAAAATGAAGACGAATAAAGTGATAAAGAAATTGGTAAGTAGGAGAAAGTCTGTACCATACTGTAGCACCTCTACGTGTTTCTTATAAAACTGCTGCAAAGGAGCTGGTTTTGAAATCAAACGCTTCAAATAATTTATAACTTGACTGCCATGTTTGTAGCAAAAATACTGACTGAAGCAAATATCTTCAGTGGATATTTATTAACACATATTTTATAATCAAGAATATTGTTAATGTTTATGTAGAAGAGGAACAGTATCTATACATTCCTATTTAATAAAAAATTAAATACATTTCTTGAAAATAAAGTACGTACAAAAAGAAATACAATGTAACTAAAAGAACACAAACTTGTTAAGAATAACCAAAACTTTTGTTAAAATGTACATTTTTTCATTGAAAATTTGAATTTCTTCTATTAAAGGCTTACACAGCTAAATATATATCCCTATCATTTAATTTCTGAATGTTTCGACAATTCATGCCTATCGAATGATCCTCTTCATTTGTAAGTTGTCGAAAACATTTTACCTGCGAAGTAATTGAGATAGAATTAGGCATTATTTGTTGTTAAACTATCATGAACATCTATAAAATAATAATCTGGTGTAAATAACAAAAATATTAAGCACAAAGTCATTACGATAATGAAAACTTGCAAAGAACCTTATTCGCTATAGTACTATACACTTGACACGTAGGAGTAGTACACAAGTAGGAATTATTTGAGAACAATATTATTGAATTTACAAGTAGTTTATGTTGATTCTCTAAAATAAAGTAGATTAAAATCACTAATTTTTATTAACTGGGCTTTAAGGACATTTCCAAAGATACTATATTATTTCTTAAGGAATAATAAAGTATCAGAAATAGTTTTTTCCTTACTTGAGAATGAGAAATATGAATAGGATTCGGAAATACAATCCATGTCACAGTTTTGCTCTTTGGGGGTGTTGTCAAAGAACCAGGATAAGTATAATATTCATTTTCAGAATTGTTCTGGAGCCATTGAAAACAATCAGCTGAAATTTCAGCCTCTGAATTAGTTTTTATAACTTTTTTCAAATTATTAGTTATTGCCAATAAATCATTATTGTCATCTTTTGTCACCTGAAAATAAAATTTGGTCAGGAACATTCATTTTATCGGAGAAAAACATAAACATAAATTTAATAATTTCTGTAGGATTTAATTTTGTCAGTTATGCCGTTATTTCTAACTCTTGCAATTAGAAGTTTTAAATTAGATTGCACCTACATTGGAAATAACAACTAACATAAATTGTAAAGACATAAGAATTAAGAATATCCGTAACGAAAACTAAAGCAATTTACTTAAACGTCAAATAATACATAAGGACAAAAATAGCATGTTATAATATTTGAGCACGTACCTACTCCTATTAAAAGTTCTCTAGATATGCATCTTGCAAACAAACGTCGCCTTCTACTCTGTGCCTATCTTATATGTAGTATGCGATAGTCAATTGCAGAAGTTGTGTATTCTTCTGTGAAGACTCATTCAGTTTTTGTAAATCAGTTATGTTTTTAAGTATTTAAAGATTTTATGAATTATATATTTATTTCAGCAAACTCATCATAAGTTATGCGCTCAGGCGACGCCGAAATAAAGATAATAGGCAGCGAATAAAAGGCTAACAGAGAGGTTCAGTAGTGCAAAAGGTAGTAAAATACTGGAAATAGAGAAATCGCAGGAGGAAATTGCGTATATGTGGATGAACTCGAAAGTCCAGACAATTGGGAATGATAGATGTGGGCCATTTCAATGATACTAAGTTGAAGCCAACGACGATATAATATGTGCACTTATATAATTGTTAGCAGAAGCGAAGCAAGAAGAAAAGGCAGCATATTTGAGTATATAAGTGTAGAGTATATAACTGTAGCCCGGGATCCTATTCAGGTGCTGTCAGCTGTTGTTGCTTCTGAGAACTTGGGATAAGGACTAATTTATGTAAAGGCGGCCTTCCTGCCAGGCAAACGATATCCCGATTCAGCACAGAAGTGGAGTAGGCCAAGACTTGGAGGCTTCATAAACTTAAGATCAACCAAAGTCATTACGAATTTCAACAGGAACTCCCTTGTAAGAACTAAAGTTTGTGGAATTTATGAAGAACGAAGATTTTCAAAACAGTTTTCAGATCCCTGTCTCTTCTACAGAGAGCGCAATTTATCTATCTACGTTTTGCGTTGATGTCTTTCTTGTTCGTTGTGGGAAGTGTTAAGAAAAAATTGCTTCTTTTTTTTGGAAATTTCGTAAGGATTGATAAATTAGTATTGCGTTAGGGCGCTTTTTCGGTCAATGGTCATTCGCGCCAGAATCACATTATTTTAAAACTCATACATCGGTTAAAACTATAAAATTTCGAAACAATATACAGATTTGCAGACTTGAGGTTTAAAAATGAATGCGAAAGATAAAACATTGTAATCAAAATAATAAATTTGTTAACAGGACAAGCTGGCAATGTAGAGTACGGCAATCGTCTGTAAAATATTGTTGGTACATGGGCCGCCAAATTACTTGAAATTTGGCGCCACGCCTCGAACAGCTCAGTTTCGCTGCTCTTTGAAGGAATTTTAGGAAAGATCATACGTTTCAAACTTCCCGCCTCAACAAACCGCGCAAATTACTTCCCAAATGACCAAATACTCATTTTTGTACAAAGCTCTTTGAAATCGATTTTCAACTGATTTGGAAAATCACTAATAGGTTGCACCACCTCCTGAGCAGCCGCGACGAAAGAGTTGTATATTGTAAGATTTCCTGGAATCCAAATTTTTCCACATCAGACGCGACGAGTTCGCTTTATTTGTAATTCAGAAGAGCCGCGACCATTTCTGTAGTGATCGTGCCGAGGAGTAAGCAATACACATATGGCGCGCATGGAAAGTTTGTAGTAGGCAGCAAGCAATTATCGTGTAGTTTCTTTGAACAAGCGCTCTGATACGCGGAGAGAAAAAACATAAATGACGTGAAATTCGTAAGGAGAACGTTTATTTTCGTCTAGACGGACGTAACCATGACAATCTCTTCAATACTCATTGATTATTTCGGAAAAGTAATAATCTTTGTCAATTATGTGTGGCTTTTCCCCAGAATTCTCTTGTCTGATAAGAACACGGAAAGCGATGCACAAAACTTCTCGTTGCAGTTTCTATTAATGCTCTCCTAATTCATCTAAGCAACATTTCGCAACCTCAACAAATATCTCTCTGAGATATAATTATGTAGCTTGCTGTCCCGAACGAAGCCATAGAGTCCAGAGCAAGGATCGTCATTACTGAGTATTTATTTTAGAGATATTTCTGTTAGGCGGCGCCTTCGACGACTTCAATAAAATATTCAGCTTTGCAGGACCACATGCTTCTCTGAGAGATATGACGCAGGTATCACAAAATGGAGGTGGTTCTCCACAGTGAAGATGTCCGAACTAAAAGTGGCTATGGCCATGCGCAAACGTGCGAGTATTATTTTCTCACGCCTAGTAGCTCAGAGCTTTTCAGAGTTCTTAATTCTACTCAAATGAAAATTTGTGTGTTCTGCCCCTCTGTATGTCATGCACCAAGGACGGAATGCTGGATTGAAAGCTAAGTGTTTGACGTGGGAACTATAGATTTGCCCACATTTGGTTTGTAAGTAAGTTGCCAAGTTAGCTGTCTGACCATCAGCCATCTGACTGTCTACCATTAACTCTTATTCCTCCATGACTCGACTCCCATGAGAAGAAATATTTGAAATCGTTAAGTAAAAACTAACTTCTGAAACTTGACTTCCGAAGGCAGAGGATTTGGTACACAGAAAAAGGATAAATCTTGGAACGAACTTAGGAAATTATAGCATAAAACTACTCGCCGCATTGATCCACATTTAATGTAGTATATAACGGCTCGAAAATTGCGTGCATCTCGGCAATGAAGACACTGTAGAATGAGTGAATTGGAAAAAATGTTGTTACCCTCCCTCATGGCTCCGATCACTGCATTATTGAAGGAAGGGCCACCAGTACACATGATGAAACGAACTGGATAGCCTAAGGATTGAGGCCCTAATGATCGAAGATATGGATAACGCCAACCAGAGCAGTCGTCTGCTAGAATTCTCCAGAGAGCGGCAATATTTGTTCTGAGCATTCAATTAGTGTCCAAAATCCTACCGTCGGGACTCGAATCCTAGGACCTCCAGGTCACAGTGGCTACAGTGACAACAACGCTGCTGTGAGCTAACAGACGGTTTGATCTTTTGAATAACAGTGAATTAGAAGCGCTCATGAATCGAATTCTAAGATCGACTGCATTGATCGATCGTTTACCTTGTGTACCTGCCCCCTTCCAAGCATTGAACACGTCTTCGTATACCGAGCCCTTCTGCAATGTGCCATGCACTATGTGGGATCGTACCTCACATTCCATTCCCTGCCCACTCACTTCCCCCAGTTCGGACAGGGAGTGCCCCAGGACATGTGTCTCGTACCTTCCTCCAAAGGAGTGAATAATCTTCAGTCTCTATCACAATCGACATATGCTCGGATAAGAGGTCAGCATCAAATATTGGATTCAATAGGACTGATACTACTACTACTACTACTACTACTACTACTACTACTACTACTACTACTACTACTACTACTACTAGTACTACTACTCCTAATACTACTAGTACTACACTGCTATAATAATAACAACAATAATAATAATAATAATAATAATAATAATAATAATAATAATAATAATAATTATATGACAATTTAATAATATAACTGTGCACTTGAAATTTGTTACCTGTAAGAAGTTCCCAACCACTGCAATACCATTTTCACATTGTACTGCTTGATTCATATCTTCACATTTCATGTGAATGTGAACAGCATGAGATTCCATTGAATAACTGAAAAGCCGTAAATATTTTATTTCAGAAATTACATAAAGCTAATTATGCTTTATTCTGAACTATTTTTGTTCATTTGCGAGTAATACTAAATTCAAATTGTACTTGTGCTCATATGTTACATACAGTATTTATTTATTTATTTCAGAGATTAAATAGACACAGAAACGAAACAATCAAATACGACCAACGTTTTCTAAAGCCGAAGCTAGACAGAATGATCTTGTTGGCGGAGACGTTATGTGTTGCCATATGTACCAAGCCCATTCCTCTCTATTTTATGTATTTCCATGTATTTATGTATCTCTATGCATTTCTATGATGTGCCCTTAATGAGTATAAATAATTCGAAAAATAAATTGAGTATAAAAGCAAACATTTTAGGGAAAACATCCAATACAAACAAACTAGCTAAAAGACTTTCAACTGGCAGTGCCAGTGCAGCCCTAAGTGATCAGTCAGGCTGATTATAGCGCACTATGGAACCCAAATTCAGAATCTCCATGGTAAACTAAACCTAGGCAAATTTTTAAATAGATTTACGCGAAAAGGCAAATAACTAGACAATGTGTAAATAAAATTAATACTGAGACATAGGGCCGCTGAGAGAACATCCGGGCCCCGGTACAAAGGTGTGTAAAACCTTTTAAAATATTCTATAGATATGTATACGTGTATGTTATTTGTTCTTCCAATCGATTACATTAATAGATTGGAATTACATTAATAGATAAAAGTCATTATATCCTACGGCGCGCATCTAATCAAGGCGCTCGGCTGTTAGGTCACTGTCGCAATAGCGTTGTCTCAGAATTGATTGATTCATTGTTAATTTCTGGCGCGTCAACTACTAAGGTCATTAGTTCCGTAGGTGCAGGGCGTGTTTTCATCGCTGGAGGTGGCGGTGATCTTCCCCTGCTGACAAGCGAGATCCGGCGCCAACCTACACCGCCTTACGGGGTTTTCTTCTACCAAGTATCTCCCACAAGCGGAGCACCGCCCCACTGGCCACCTGACGTGCGAGTTAGTGTAGAGCGTGTAAGTGCACCCCTGTATTTGAGTAAGGGGGCGAGGATAGGACAAGGAACACGAAGAGAAGATTGCGCGCGGTCCATGGCCCGTTTGTTAGGGGTACTGCTCCGTCATTGGGCTGTTGTTGATCGGAGAAACAGCAGGAAACAACCGATCAGAGCAGCCGGCCGCTACAATTCTCCATCCTAGGGCGTCTGAATTGGACTTAGCAATGTAGTTAGTGTGGAAAATCCTGCCATTGTCGGTATTCGAATCCTAGGAACTCCTGGTCAGAGGCACTGCAGTGATTTGCGTTGATGACCTGAGACACCTTTACCGGAAGGTGGAAGAAAAGGTACTTGAAGCACAGCATTTCAGTACCGGGACTGTCCGCAACGCAAGCCCCAGTGGTCACGAGGAACAGTGTTGGAACAAGATGACATCAGACTCGGTTACGGATGCACCCTACAGGTGGAGGGTAGAGTTGATCATGCTGCAGCGGTGTGACGACGGAGAGGAGGATCTGGCCCAGCTTCAACCTCCTTCTGCAAGCCGGATCTCGCCACCCAGAGGGGGAAGATGACCGCCACCTCCCGCGAAAAAAGCACTACACTTACGGAACTAATGACCTTAGCCGTTGACGCGCCCGGAATCACCAATCAATACATTTTCTTGCCTCCTCGTGACATCCGGCCATCAATAGGCGTTGTCGCCTGCAAAGTAAAATAAAATATGTGCACTGGAGGTCTGTTTGTGGCGGTACAGACAATAGTTCGCGAAGCGAACAACACTCTGGCCAACCTGACCGACCAGTTCCCTTTGTGGTCTGCCTTAATAGAGCCCCTCAAGAACAGACATGACACAGTCACGGGAAAAGTAACTAGCTTAATTCGGGTTCTCTGGCACTGCGCCCACAGCCACAGTCGCAGTTTAAAAGCAAGAGTTGTGCAAATTGTTTCGGGGAGCGATATGTCACTGGAAATCTGGTCCATGACAGTGTTTTGAAAGTCAATTGACAATTATTATGCCGATATGGCGATATAAATTCCAATTTTCTCTACTAAGGCAAAGTATTTATTCATTAAAATGAAATAAATCATCCATATTAAACTTCTGAACTGAAAATAAAATAAAAAAATAGGAATTGAAAGGATTATAATTTCGTAATTGCGTTTATTTCAGAGTTCAGTAATTGCATTAACTTCCAACGTTCAGATTAGGAAAAATTATTATCTATTAAAGGATCTGTCCGAGCGTAGGAACGATTTACTAAATATAACGCGAAATGGAAGTTATGTTCTAGGACATAAAATGGATCTTTATAAAACAATTTTTTCGTCATTGCAATATGCAATAAAGAGCACAGTTATTTAATAAATAACATAAACAGAAAATGGACAATAATTTTGCTATTGAAACATATTCCTGCCATTAGACAATACTGTTTCATACAGCATGTTTTAAAAAGAAAATAAATATGAAATAAAGTAACAGATAATATATTACGTACACAAAATTCAAAACTTGGTATCCTCAGACAAATATGATTTCGTATCAAACAATCATTCTTTGTGGTATTTCAAGCGCACTTTTGCTTACTCTCCCCGCTAAAAAGGTTGTGCGTGTACACCCCTCTCTGGATTTGGAGGGGAAATGAGAGTAGAGTCTGGGGAAGTTGCCCGAGCCCGCATTTTGACGTGCCTGCTCTCCCAAATTATTCCATTTAGGATGTAAGGTTGGAGGATGTATTGGCTTCACCCCTTTCTTAACCAGGAAGTTCCCGAGTTCCAACGTTGTAGCCTGTCAGACACTTTGATGTTTGCAATCACCTCAAGGGAACAGCTAACCAGGGTTGCCACTCCACTCGCTTGACTTCGATTGTTTGTGATTTCGGCCACATCGACTAACAGGATCGATAATCCCGTAAGTATAGTGCATGTTTTGCTCGGGAGGTGGCGGTGATCTTTCTCCCGCTGTATGGCTAAATCCGGTGCCATCCTACTGTCGGCTAGCGAGTTTTCCCCTACCCGGTATCTCCCACCAGCTCCCGCCATCGCCCCATCGAGGACAAGCTTTTAGCTCCCGATTGGTCTGCCGGCATGTGTGGTAGTGTAGTGCGTGTTATTGTGGGTGTAAGGGGTGAGGATAGGCCAAGAAAGAGGAAGGTGAGATCGCGCGTAGTCCGTGGACCGTTTGTTACGGTACTTCTCCGGCATTCGCCTGATGTTGATCACAGAAACCACGGAAAACTACCAATCAGAGCAACCGGCTGCTATAATTCTCCAGACAGCGTCTCAATTCGACCTAGCTAACAAGCTATTGTCGAAAATCCTGCCACCATTGGGACTCGAATCTAAGACTTCCCGGTCAGGGGGACTGCAGATACATGAATTGATGTAGGTCACTCGCTTGACGATGGGAATGATTATACGTCTACATGATCAGTTACAACTGGCCTTCAACAGTCCCGAGGTAATCCTCCCTCTGCGGGCAATCGGACATGGGGCCGGTGGAGCTGAGGGGGGGGGCGTGTCGGGGCCCCTGGCATATCTGGTACTTCTGATTCGTTGTTTCTATGTTCGCAGCCCCGGCCACTATTAGAGCCGAGCGAAACGTATTTAATTATCGATCGACCTGTCTAGCTTGCTTTCGCAGTCTCGCAAGTCCACGGTACCCTTTATCTATCCGTGAAATCTATACACAGATATCTGTGAAAGCCCGCAATTATCGCTACCGCTCGTTTTCGGCTGTTCTTGGCAGTATCAACAGAGTGATGTACGCTGTTTGCTATTAGTTTCGGTGTAATTCGCTTGTGAGAAGCACTATCTCTGTTACAAAAGAGATAGTAAACAGTAAATCAGCAATTGAACCGAAAAAAAGAACCGTTGGATCCATGATGTTTGATGTCCACAAGTTTCCGTGTTAGTGTCGTGGATCTGGTACACTCCAACGGTTCTTTTTTCGGTGTACGTATTAATAGCAAATAATCGTACATTTCGAAACAACTGAACCTTTAAAACACCACTCCCAGGATCGCGCAATTTCAGTCGTGCAAACAATTCGAGGTTTGGAAAGGGACTAGTGTGACACAATTCTATTTCAGTTTTCGTCGTAAAACATGCCATGACAGTTTGTTCACATAGTTCAGTTACGTCCTCCATTGAAAAAGAACTAGATTATGCGCTAAGATGTATAATACAATTGTATTTTTTCAACTTCTTCATACTAGTGGCGGTATTCTTTCTCTCATTATTTGCAATTCTTTCTCCAATTATAACTCAGGTCCTTAAGTTTAGCAAGCAGTTTGCGTAACCATTCTTATAATAGCCTGAGTCCACATAACAACCTTCCCGACATAATAAATAGAAAGTGCTATCTTATATATCAAAAATATTTGCTAATTAGACCAGCACAATTTTTTAATTTAGGGGGGGGGGATTAAAGAAAAAAATTACAGCAGTTTTTTAAAAACAAGAATAAAAAAATAGTCTATATTTCACGCAAAACCACTCATATTTTTGAAAACGTATACATGATTAGAATTAAATATCTTAAAAAAATCTATGAAGAAAAAATTGTTCTTCAATTATTTTATTTATGGACGACACGAAAAAATTGTAACTTTTTGCAAAAAAATAGGGATTTCAATAGATATGAGGACCTGCCACCATCTCCCTAAGCGTGTTAAAACAAATATTGATTATAAAAAAATTGACCAATCTTTTGAACATTTTGAAAATGTCTAGGAGCTGTCATAAAAGTGAGTGGCTACACAGCCTCCTGAACGGGCATGAAGGCTTACCAGCGACGTCCTGCCCTTGCGGCCATGGGTTAAGGAGTTCATGTAAAGTACGCCCCCCCGCAAAAAAAATTAAAATATCCGTTTGATATTCAAGGGGTCGCGACATCAGCCAGACCGATTGGGGAATAACAATTTTGGAGAAAATCGGTTGCATTGTTTAGACGCTAGCGTGGACCACAGACGGACA